TAATAAAGTAAAAAATGTAAAAGCCTTTAAAAGGGCATCTGGCAGAAGGCCAGCTGGAGTAGTGCTTGTGCTGTGATAGGGGCTGGGACATCCCTGGGCTGTCTTCCTAGGTTGGAGTCAGTGCGACTGGAGTACCGTGCAGGGCTGAAGAACATTGCCAACACGCTCATGGCCAAGGCACTGCAGGAGTGCCCCAATTCTGGTAAGGGCTTCGGGCTCTCTAGTATAGCACAGAGGAAATCTGTGGGATGAGATTGATTGACTCCCAATGACTCCTTTAAGATGCAGTCTGTGTGTCCCATTTTAGTCTAGCTTCACTGATTCGGTTATAAAGAACTTCAGACTCAATCCTCAGTCTCAATATGGGAGAGTTTGATTTCATGTTCTGAAGCACCATCATTTTTTTTCTTAACCAAATTTAACTTCTATTTATTATTTTACTTACATGTGGTATATAAGAATGTAGCTGGGTAGTGGTAGTGCACGCCTTTAATCCCAGCACTCGGGAGGCAAAGGCAGATGGATCTCTGAGCTTGAGGCCAGTCTGGTCTACAGAGCAAGTTCCAGGACAACCATAAATACACAGAGAAACTGTGTCTCACAGGGGTGGGGGTGGGGGTAAAGAAATGTATATGTCACTTGAAAAAAATTGGAATTTTAAAAGGAGGATATAAAGATTGCCTCCAACCTAATATTCAGGAATTTCTTTTCTTAGTGTTTGAAGTATTTCTTTGTTATTATACAGAATTGAATTAAAGTTCTAGTAGGTATTTGATACCTTTTGGGGGGATGGGGGACAAGGTTTTATGTAGCCTGGAGTGGTCTCAGACTCACTATATAATAAAGGCTGGCACTGAATTCTTTACTCTTCTGACTCCACTTCCCAAGTATTAAATTACAAGCCTGTGTCACCATGCCTGGCTACAGTTTTTTTGTTGTGGTGCTGATAGTGGTAGCTTTTTTGTTTTGTTTTTGCTTTTTTTGCTCGACTCTTACTTTGTAACGTAGGTTGGCTTCTAAATCATGATCATCCTACTTGAGCTCTTGGCTTCTCAAGTGCTGGGATTACAGGCACGTGTCACAAGCCTAGTTATCATCTCTGCGTGCGTGTGTGTGCGTGCGTGCGTGCGAGTGCAGGTGTGTGTTTCAAGGCAGGGAGTCTCTGTGCAGCCCCTGCTGTCCGGAAGCTGTAGTCTATTTTTAAAAGCGGTGTGCGATAGCGCTTTCAGATTGCCGTTGCCTGTTGCCTGCTCGCTGACTGAGTGAGAGTGAAAACTTGAGGCTGCCATACAGAGCACTGTCCAGTCTGCTCTGGCAAGGCCGCTGCAATTCAGGAGGTTGCTGGGTAGGTTGAGGCCCTTGTGTCTGCCTTCAGGACACTCCTTTTAAGGCAGCCTGAGAGGGAGGGTGCATTTCTATGGTGGAAGGGCAAAATTCTGCTTCTGAATTTCAGGTATCCTGTGGTCTGAAGCTGTTTTCCTTGAGGCAAGGCCCCAGAGAAAGACCAAGAGTGTGGATGCCCTGAAGAAATGTGAACATGACCCCCATGTGCTTTTAGCTGTGGCTAAGTAAGTAGTAGTTCTTTGGGGGTTGCTTATCCTTGGGGGTCCTGGTGTAGTTTTGCCAACATCTTTGTCTGGCCATGCTGACTTTGCAGAGTGAGCTGCTTGGGCCTCAGCCGCCAGAACTCCTGCTTCTGTCTTCTTGAGGTGTTGAGGGACTGTCTAAACACCTGTCTGGTTACCTGTCTTCTCAAGCTTTTTCTCAGCCCCAGGCTTCTGGTGGGAACTGTTCTCTTTGTTTCAGTACCAGATGGGGCCTGGATTATATGCTGGACAGATTTGTTGATATTCCAACTAGAATTTAAGTATTAAGCAAAACCCCTTTGAAGGGGCTTCAGCCAAGAAGTTTTTACTTTCCTTGTGTTAGCAGAACTCAGACCCTTTCAGCTGGTCCTGGGACTAACCCTGGCTATAATCCGTCATCTTGTTTAGCCATGGATCATCTGTGATTTCCTGTTACCTCCCAGCACAGGATTGTGCCAGTGGTGGTGATGAAGGCAGAGCCTTAGAACCAGTTTGGTTCTGTTTGAGTGGCACTGAATACCCAGGGTCTGGTGCAACTGCCTTCACAATCCTGCTTGGGCACCTTTGTTATCTGTGGCCCTAGCAGATGAGGGAGGCTTTAGACCCAGCCTTCCTAGCCTGGGCTTCCTTTTCCCAGTGTAACTTCTATATGTCCTCAGACAGAGCGGCCATAAACTTTACAAAGGCTTTGTTAAAGTAAATAAGTCACTCCTTGCTGTCCCCAAGCTGATGATCCATGTGCCCTCTATCTTGAGTTTATGCTCTTTAAATCACAGTTTATCTAACACCAAGCAATTAAGAGCACTACATGGCTTAAAAAACAATCAAGTTATCAGCATGAAATTACCCCATTTGGTACCTGAGCACAGCTCACACAGCTGCCTACGGTGGAAAGGTTAGTTGTGCTCCAGCTGCCTCAGTAAGGGAGGGAGGGTGAATCAAGCCCAAGTCCTCAGACTGCAAAAGGCTTCTCCACAGCATGCTGGGCCATCTTTCCCATTGTTCATCCTGCTATCCTGTACTAACTGCCAGCTGGAGAAGGGAGCCATGGAGACCCTGGTTTGGGTCCTGTCCTGTCCTTTTCCTTTTCCTTTTTCCCCTCTCCCCTCTCCCCTCTCCCCTCTCCCCCCTCTCCTCTCCTCTCCTCTCCTCTCCTCTCCTCTCCTCTCCTCTCCTCTCCTCTCCTCTCCTCTCCTCTCCTCTCCTCTCCTCTCCTCCCCTCCCCTCCCCTCCCCTCCCCTCCCTTCCCCTCTCCTCTCCTCTCCTCTCCTTTCCTTTCCCCTCTTCTGTCTTCCTTCCTTCCTAAATTTTGTGTTTGTTTTTTTGTTTTGTTTTTGAGATAAGGTTTTTTTTTTGGTAGCCCTGGTTACCCTAGAATTCTCCCTGTAGACCAGGCTGGCCTCAGACTCAGAGATCTCCCTGCCTCTGCCTTCCAAGTGCTGTGTGTGTTTAAAGGCATGTGCCCCCACACCCCAGAGCTGACCTTTGGGACCCATCTTTGTGTTTCTGTTTGCTCATGCTGCTACAAGGGACTGGACAAGGCAGGATACTCCAGGGTTTATATGTTGTTGAAGAACAGTCTGAAATTTCAGGTTTTTATAATCAGTCTTAATGTTTGTTAAAGTTAGTTTCATATTTATTTGACCCAGAAAAAATATTAGGTTTAAGAAGTTGAGATGTTATTGTGTGTAAATGTTATAAAAAGCAGTGGGGGTCAGTGAAGGACCTGGAGTGATCTCCAGGTATTCCTGGACCATGGCTCAGGCCTTCTGTAACACATGCCTGGGTTTGTGGATCTCACTAGGAACTAGATGCAGCTGACTCCCAATCCCAGCAGGCACTATCCTTATCCCATAACAGGCTGTTCTGGAGTGAACGAAAGATCACTAAGGCACGGGAGTGGTTCCACCGCACTGTGAAGATTGACTCAGATCTGGGGGATGCCTGGGCCTTCTTCTACAAATTTGAACTGCAGCATGGCACTGAGGTGAGGCTATCCTAGGATACCAGTGTGCAGTGATATCCTGCCTGTTCCCCTAGACATTAGAAAGCTCATGGGGAAGGGGAATAGGAAGTGGCCAGGACCAGCAGCTCGTTCCCAGTTGAGGTTTGTTGAAGCCATGCTCATAAGGCAAGGGTGTCCAGGATGTCCTGGGCCTCTCATTGGAAGTAATAGCCAGACCATGTCAAGTCCAGGAAGTACCTAGCTCAGAGATGATGCGCCTAGGGTTCTGATACAGTTCAGCACACAGGTGCATGGACTTGGATGCCATGTTCCCCAAGAGGAGGGGATAGCTTGAACTCTGCTGGGGCCAGATCTGCAAGGGGACAGACAGGCAAGGCTCAGTGTGTACCTAACTCTACCTAAAGTACCCTTTGGTCTCTCCAGGAGCAACAGGAAGAGGTGAGGAAGCGCTGTGAGAATGCAGAGCCCCGGCATGGAGAACTGTGGTGTGCTGTGTCCAAGGATATCACCAACTGGCAGAGAAAGATTGGGGAAATACTAGTGCTGGTAGCCGCCCGTATTAAAAACACCTTTTGATGGGGTGGAGGACAGGGCCCTTTGGGGCAGCACATGGACAATGGACACAAACCCTATACTGTGTATCTCTCATTCATTAAAGATTTTTATAGAGTTATGTTGGGGCTAGGGTGTCTTTTTTTTTTCTGTTTGGTCTTTTGCTCCTATTCGCTTGAGTGGTGGTCATGGCCAGTCTGGTTTGGATATAGCCTCCTGCAAGTGCTTTTATGCTCCAGAAGAAGCATACTTGGGGTACCAAGGGCTTGCTGAGATAAGGACTTGGGAATGCAGGTTGTTTATAGAATGGGGGCTCCATCATGGGTCTATGGCACAGAGGCTGAAGGTCACGTGGGGACCAAGCTGTAAAAGAAGGAAAGGCTTAGAGAAGCTCCTATGTTTTGCAGGCATCTTTGCTTGCCTTGGGAGGTATGAGCTCACTGGCTTAGGGAAGTACCTCCCGTTCCTGTCCTGAGGAATATCTAGAATTCCTTGGATATTTCTACAGAGAGATCCATGGGGTTCCCTATGGTTAGCGACCATATACAGTGGTTCCTTTACAGTTGGAAGGGAAAGGACCTGACTACAGCATCAGGCTGTTGGGCTGCTGGTGGTTTCTGCTTCTTCTGACTGTTCCCATCTCTCAAACTGAGGGCATTGAAGCAGTTACCAAAGAAGATGCTTGGGTAATGTTTCCTGTAGGGTTGTGGAAAGGTCTGGTGAGCCTGTAATATCCTGGTTATTTTTCCTCTCTGTGCGAATGAAAGGTTTTTTGTTGTAGTTGTTGTTGCAGTTGCTGAGGTGATCAGCAACTCTTTGTGTATTGATGTAGGATGTCCTGTACACTCTGAATATGTGTTGCTCTTATTGGTTGATGAATAAAGCTGTTTTGGCCTATGGCAGGGCAGAATATAACTAGGAGGAGAAAGCCAGCAGCTGCCGGAGAAGATGCCAGAGCACCGGTAAGCCATGGGCCACATGTGATACAAAGATTAATAGAAATTGATTAATTTAATTGTAAGAACTGGCCAGTAATAAGCCTGAACCCTCAGCCAAACAATTATAATTAATATTATGCCTCTAAGTGATTATTTTATAAGTGGCTGCAGGACAGTAGAAAAGTCTCTGGCTACAGTGTATCACATTTATTTATTGGGGTGCCTGTATGCCACAGCATACTTGTGGAGGTCAGAGGACAACCTACAGGAGTCTTTTCTATTATTATGTTGGCTCCTGGGGCCAAACTCAGGTTGTCAAGGCTTTGCAGCAAGTGCCTTAGCCTGCTGGGCCATCTCACCAGCCCCACACCATTGCTTTCCTTCATCTGGAAGTTGAGCTTTGCTGAGCAGGAGATTAACTGTGTTCCAGAGGCTGCTGTGCTAGGGCAAAAGCAAAACAGCAACCCTGGGACAGGGCCTCCTACTCCTGGATGACCCCAAGGTCTAGAAGGATGAAGTGGGGCCAGCAGTAGAATTCGGGAAGTCCCAAGTTCCAGGCCTGCTGGAACAGGTCTGTCTGGATATGAACTGGGGACTAGTGGTTGGCCTGCCTATCAGGAGAGACTATTGCTCTCTGCCCATTGAGACGCAGGGGTCTCGATGGGGCTGGAGACTCAATCCCAGACCCAGAGCAGCCCTGGATCTGCTGCAGCAGGCAGCTGCTCTGCCCCAGAGTCAGGTTAATTGAAGTGACTGGAGAGAGGGTGGGGAGGGGCTAGGGGCAGGGCTGACTTACTGGACTTTCCTTCCCTCCTTTCTTGCTCCCTCCCTTCGTTGCTGGAGGAGCCAACTTCAAACGCCTCTCCACCTGCCCCCCCTACCCTGGCTCTCACCAGGGAGGCCCCATCAGCCGATAGAGGACCTGGTGTGACTGCCAGTTGCCTGTTTCATTGGCAGCCCAAAGACCCAGAGGACCCCAGGATCATGTGTGTGGCCTGCTAGAGGGAATAAGAGAAAGCCATCCTGAGAGGCCTATGGTGAGCAGTTGGGGCCTGGGGGACAGGGCTGGCCTGGGCCAAGAGTCTGGGCATGGGCACAACCAGGGGAGGCTGTTGCCCTGTGCCTCATAGGAACCCCCAGATGTTTATGGCAGTTCCAAGTAAAATTACCATTGTTAGTGCTTTTGTCTTGGCCTTCCTAGACCCCTTTCTCCTCATACTGGGTTAAGCCTGAGTTAATAGGCTCTCCCTAGCAGCCAGCCTGTCCCTTGTTGATGCTAGATGTCTTTCTAGGAGTCTCACTGGCCGAATTGGCTCTTGTTCTTAGTGTAGTTTGATGGGTTGTTTTCAGCACCCCTCCATTGGCCATGGTTTCAGATGACTTTCAAGAGGGTGCTACTCTATTTGTTCTTCAGTGTTGGTGCTGGTATCCGAGGCAGAAGCACCCACCCCCACCCACCTCTATGTGGGAGCTTGTGGTGTGTTCAGTTCAGCTTTCCTGCCAGGGCTGGGAAGCTGAGTCCTGTCGTTTCGCTGGGCTCACAAGATTAATTTTCTAGCCTAAGTAGGCTGGAGGCCTAGAGGCAGGTTTAGAAACTGCTCCATTTGGAGGAGCTGCCTCCCTGATGTCACCAGTCCTTTCCCGTTTGGGGTGGGGCTTTGCTTCTTCTGCTGTCTCCAGTGCTTCCTCCAGCCTTCCCCTTCCAGTGGGGGTCTTGGAGCTCTGAACCATTGTTTCTGCCCTAGTTGGTTTGGTTTGGTTTGGGGTTAGTGGAGGGGCAGGGTTGATTCCTGTGGCTGGTTGTAGCAGAACCATTGAGGAAGAGATTGGAGTTCCCATACTGCGTGAGAACAAAGTGGCACCACCCCCAGATCAGGGGTGAGGTCATCCTGGTGAGGCTGTACTCGCTTCTTGCTGTACCCCTTCTGATCCCACTCCCTGTACAAGGCCAGTCAGTGAGCCTTTGTGCATCCACGGTACTTAGGTGCTAACTTTTCTGCCTTTCCAATGTAGTGCCACCCCTTGTCTGTGGCACCTGTTCTCTGTCTCCTTCCTAGTCCTTCAGGGGTTCAGTGAAATATTTCCCCGTGCCCCAATACACACGCCACAAATGTTCACAGAACGTGGCACTATTTGGTGTTTAAGTCTCTTTTCTCTTCCCCAGGACTGCCAGGGTTTATCATAAGCCGTAGCTAGAGTCTGATGAAATTTTTGATCCTACCATCTCACAGATGAGGGGACACTCTTGTGGTGACTCCAAGTGTCTATGGAGCCACTGCTTGTGCTGGAAGCTTAGGTTCTCAACCCTACCTGGTGTCCCCTCCAGGTGCCCCCCAAGCCCACTCTCTACGTCCTACCAATGCTGCTGGCATTTCTTGAGTCGGCTCTGGGCTGGGCCGGGTCCCAGTCCTGCAGTGTCCAGGAGGTACTCCGGCACTACCAGGCTGTCATCTTCCAGGACTTGCAGGCTGCCATGCAATGGGCTGGGACGAGAGCCCAGCATACAGAGCCTGGGTCCCGGCGGCACCACCACCTGACTGGAGCTGGTGGAGGTCAGGGACAGCCAGGGGCCTCCTGTGATGCCCAGAAGGTATGGAGAGGTACCCCCACCTACACCTATCTGTACACCTACACCTTCCTCAGGCCCCATCCCCACCCCCGTCCTGCCTTTCCTCCCTTTCCGACTCAGGAGCGTAGCATCCTACTGTCTATTGAGTCCCTGGGTCAGACCCTTCTTGCGAGCGTGGCTGGAGTTCCCCACAATGCATTAGAGAAAGCGGCATGGACAGTAGCGGTGCGCACCAAGGCAGTGATGCACAGACACTGCCGGACATCCAGCAGGGTATGATTCCTCCACTGCCCTTCCACTAAGGACTGCCATACCAATGTCCCGAGGCTTTGGGCTCGAGTAACTCGCTTCCCTCGGGGCAGAGTACAGGTTGTGAGATAACGGCAAGGGTTCAGGATCTGTATGCACGCACTTACAACTGGTCCCCACAAGCAGATCCTGCAGCCCAAGAGGCGTCCAGAACAGCAGCGTCCCAGCCGGAGGAGGCTCCTGCTACGTGCCCTGCACGCTGTCGCCACCTGCTGGGAGAAGCTCTTTTCGCTGAGTGCCGTGGCCACCAGAGAATTCTAGCGCTGCCCCTGTCCTTATGCCCACATCTCACGGAAGACTGGAAGCAAGCTTTGGTTCATGTTTTGACAGTGCCCCCTCCTTTAGCTCATACTGCCTGCACTCAAAGGCCCAGGATGTGGAGAAGAGACCACACTCCTTCATGGCTATTCTTCCACATACCCAGTGAGGCCCCAATAAATGGAGTAAGTGGTGTGGCCTGATTCTTCTACCTTTGCCTGACTGGTTATTGGCCCTGGACCACCCAGGGATCGTGGCAATAGTTGTACCTCCCAGCGTCATACAGCAGGGGGTGTGGGTGGGACGTTGGACATGTCTTCACGTAGTGTCCAAGGCAGGGAAGCCCCAACCACCCCCCCCCCCACACACACACAACTTGGTTAGGGGTTTTAAAACGTCATGCATCCGTCCTGCCCAACACTGGACCGGAGGAGAGGGTGGAAATGGAGAGGAGGGGAAGGCTGAGCTTGGTGGATTTAGAGCAAAACAACCGGATAAAGGAAACAGGACTTAAAGGAAGCCAGCCTTGCTGCCCTGGCCACAAACTAGACCAGGCCATTTCCTGCTGCCCCTGGGGGATGGGCAGAATGGGGTGGGGGACAACTCCACAGGCTGCCCCAGACTTGTCTGTTAAACTGACTAGGCTGACCCCACTACCTACATAAGCCTAAGTGGAATGGTTCTAGCCCTGAACAGAAAGAGACAATGTCCCTCGGGCTCCTTGCCTCATCATAGTACCTTGCTCTGTGTCTGTCAAACAGGCAAACAAGAGACCGAAAAGACAGTGGTAGGGCAATCTACAAGAGCAAGAAATAGCCCAGAAGTTCTTCATGTCTCCATTGGTGCACATGTGGTCTGCCCAGTGGGACCTTTTGTTTCTTTCCACAGTTGAAGAAGCTGAGACATGGAAAGGGTGTAGGACCTTCGTTGATCACACAGGAGAGTTGGGATCAGCTTTGGACCCAGAGTGTGGTGTGTAGAAGAGAAATAGAGCTTTCTGGATATCAGTATGCATTTAAATAATTTGATTCAGATTTCTAATGGTCTCACAAGCTGCCTTGGAGCACATTTTGGTTCTGCTCCATGGGGTAGGAGAAGTACAAGTGTGGAAAAGTACAAGGTGGGGGCTTGCCAGAGAGCGCCTAAGTACACATACCTTCAGCAAAACCAAGCCTAAAACGATTGTGTGTGTGTGTGTGTGTGTGTGTGTGTGTGTCAGCTGTTGTGAGGGGACAAGGGGAAGCATGGGCCATTGCAGGATCCTAGCCCTACCAGGAAAATACCAGTGGAGGAGGGGCGGATGACTGTGGGCCTGGGCTGATGAGCTTTATTGGGCATGCTGGGGTATAGCCAATGGCCCAGTAGAGAAAAAGGCCCAATTTTGTTGAAATGTAAGCCATAGGGCAGCAGAACTTGACTAAAGAGTGGAGTCTGGAGAAAGTAACAGTCCGGGCACTGAGCTGGAAGAGAGCAATATGGACAGCCCTCCATGGAGATACCCATGTACCCATTTTGCAGGGCCACCTGTACTTATACTTGTCCCAACTTTAGATCCTACTGGGAAATCACTTGAATCGTAGTGAGCATTCCAGAGCCATCTTGCTGTCCAGTTCCACTGTTCAGAGCAGTCAGACTGGGGAGGTAAGGAACAGGGTGTCCTGACTCGCACCTTCAAATTAGGAAAAACCCAACAAGCCACGGTCTCCTGGGACTGGAGGTGAAGTAGACGCCTTGAGAATTTCGGGGAATAAATGTTGATGCCTAAACCCTGTACCAGACTGCACGTTTAAAGACCACCTGAATTCTGTGCCCATGGCTCTCTGCAGGAGCCCTGGACACATCAGCCTGTGGTTATCAACACACTGGAATGACTGTCCTCCTGCAGGATGAGGACAGGTACAGATTCAGGATCAGAGCTGAGGGACAACCAGAATGTTACTGAGACCCTAGGTCCTTTACTCTCAGCCCAGGGACCTAAGTGGAGGAGGCTCCCTGGAACTTCTTTGTAGTTGAGGGTAGGGCATCATCCTCCTTATGCACACCTAACGTGGCCCAGCGCAGAAACTGCCCCACAGTTGCTGGCTGCTGACAGCTAGAAAGACCTTGGAGATACTGAGGCTGAGACATGGAGCTGGAGACTACTGGTGCTGTCCAACCCCACACAAGCTTTCTCAGGGCCTGACTTTTCTGGGAGGTAGGGTGTGAGGATTACAGATGGGACCCCCCAAGGCACTGGCCAGGCCTGTGCAATTTCCTGCAGCCCAGGAAACAGGCCTCCATATGTAACCCTGGAAGACAGAGACTGGCAGGCTTTGAAGGGAGTCTGGGTACCACGGCCTCCCACGACTAGGAGCCTTTGAAAGAACATCTGGAACTTGGGCAACAGCTATGGATGACAAGCTAGTCCTTTGGTTTGCAAATCCCAAAGTTAATCTTGACTTTGCTACTTGTGTGTTAACAACCCCGCGCCACCTCCCATGATGCAGCAGGGAGCGAGGGCTGCAGCCTCTTCTGTGTTGGGACAGCATTTCCTATCCTGGCACCTACCACACTAGCATAGGAGTGTGGGTGAGCTGAATAAAGGGAGCAGTAAGAACGGGCATGAGTGCAGAGCCACCGTGAAGCATGTAGAGCTCTGAACTTAGCTGCAGTCCTAAAGTTGGGCTCACTTTGGCAGCACACACTAAAACGGGAGTGCTACAGAGATCAGCATGGCCGCTGTACAAGGATGGTGCACAGATTTGTGAAACATTCCATATTTTTTTCTAGTTACCAGCTCCTTGAATGGGAGACAATAAGTAGACCTGGGCCTGGTTCAAGTTCATCATCCTTAGGCCAATCCATTGGTAGGTATCACACCACCACTGTGAAATCCTGTGGTGCATGTAAAGGAAGGTTCATCTAAACAAAATAAAAACAAAAATAAAAATAAACAACTGGGCTCCTACAGAGCTTGGATAGCACTATAGTCAGGGCTGTGGAGGAGAAGGAGATATCTCCCTGGCCTGCAGACTACCTGGCCTTGTGGGCTTGTGGGTACTCAGCCCTTGCAAGACCTGCAGGTGTGCAAGAAGGCTGCTTCAGCTGTAGCTAACTGGAAACAAACAAGGCCCTCTACTCCAGGAAGCACACATTACTGGGGCAGGGGTTGGGGGGGGGGGGAATGAGGCAGGTGTTGAGGCCCATTGTCCCTGCCAGTGGCCTTCAGGATCCTGGGGGTGGGGAGAAAGGGACAGTCCCCATCCTGCCCTCTCCTCGGGAAAATTTAGCTTTGTAAACACCCACATACACCACACACCCTACTCCACTAGAATCTGGAATAACCAGCAAAGAGGTAACACCTGCTATGGGAAGTGAGTCCTTGTTTGGGTGGAAATGGGAAGGGTCAGGCTCTTGGCAGCAGTGCCGTGCCTGCTGTGGGGGAAGTGGGACATCCTGGGGTACCAGCTCCTGGGTCTCTTGCTGTGTAGATGGGATTTCTGCTGCTTGTCTGTTTGATGCACCCTGTGCTCAGTGGTGCACTGGGTAGCATTCCAGTCCAGTTGTGACAGTTTGTGGCTCAGAGAGAGAGGCAGCCAGGGCTCCCAGGTGAGCAGGCTCTGTCCTTGGACTGCCCCTGGCGCCCCCTACCCGGCACAAGGCCAGGGGTCAGGGCTGCAGAGCAAGATAAGCCCAGTTTCCTGCACTTACTCCCAGAGCTGTGACTCCCAACACTTCCTGTTTTCTGGAGGGCAGACAGGGGTGTGGGAGATTGGGCAAGGTGGTGGGGGCTGGGGTCATGAGACAGAGGGTGGGGCTGTGGGGGAGGGGCCATAGGAGATGGGATGAAGTCATAGAGGGGAGGGCTTGAATACTGGGTGAAGTAGCGGAGTCAGAGCAGATTCTTGGGAGATTGGGTAAAGTTGTAGTGGGCAGGGTTATAGGGAGGCATGTCCCTAGAGGCAACGGTGGGAGGTTGAGTTGTGGGTGGACACAAAGCGGAGCTGTGGGCAGCCAAACCCAAAAGAAGTAGTGAAGTCATGAGCTGGGGTTCTGGGAAACCTGTGAAGTCTTAGGGAAAGGATCCCTGGGAATGGGAGCCAAGGAGCCAGAAGAGAACTATGGACCTGGTATGCACTTAGGCCTTTCTCAATCCTCAGAGACAATAACCCTCTACGAACACTCTTCCTTCCTTGGTGAATTCCCTTCCTAACCTGGAGCACAAGTTTTGTAGGCTTGGTAGTGGTTGACCAAGCCCTGCATAATCTTAGTTTGGAACCAGGCATGGTGGTACATGCACTGAAATACTTGGGAGACAGAAGTGGCAGATCTCTGTAAGTTCGAAGCGAGCTTGGTCTACACAGGATGTTCCAAAACAGCCAGGGTGACAGAGAGACCCTATCTCTAACTAACTAACTAACTAACTAAATAACTAACTAACTAACTAAATAAATAAATAATAAACAAACACATGAACATTTCTAAAAAGAAAAACAAAAAAATATGGGTGTGGTTCTTAACCTATGGTTCAAATATTGTTATTAGAAATATAAATTCAAGAAATCTTAATGACAAACTAATAGAAGTTTGTGACATGGTCTCTCTTAAAATATATTGTTTTTACTTTTCTTATAATAACTGAAACCTCAAAAAGTGGATCCAAGGGCTGGAGAGCTGATTCATTGGTTAAGAGCACTTACTGCTTTTCCAGAGGACCCAAGTTTGATTCCAAACACTCACATAGGTGGCTCATAACTGCCTGTTACTCCAGCTCCAGGGACCTAACATGTCTGGCCTCTGTGAACACCCACACAGATGTAGTAAATTCTCTCTCTCTCTCTCTCTCTCTCTCTCTCTCTCTCTCTCTCTCTCACACACACACACACACACACACCACAGGATGGGCATGGTGATGCATACCTTTAATCCCAGCACTCAGGAAGCAGATCACTAAATTTGAGGCTGCCACTCTACATAGCCAGTTCCAGGCTAGCCAGGGTTCAAAGCAAACAAACAAAAACCCTCGACCCCAAAGACTATTAATACCTGTTACCAGTATCTATAACTATTAGGTAATTAAGATGTATTTAAGATAAAGCTTCTAATTTTCAATTTGAAATATAATTATCTTATTGAAAAGAAAGTGTTTTCTAAATTTGTAATTATAACAATAGTTATAATGAGACATTAAAGAACCACCAAGTAAAGAAAACGAGATATAAAGTTATAGGTATGAAATATACTTTTGGAGCCGGGCGATGGTGGCGCACGCCTTTAATCCCAGCACTTGGGAGGCAGAGGCAGGCGGATCTCTGTGAGTTCGAGACCAGCCTGGTCTACAGAGCTAGTTCCAGGACAGGCTCCAAAGTCACAGAAAAACCCTGTCTCGAAAACCAAAAAAAAAAAAAAAGAAAGAAATATACTTTTGGTAAAAGATGACTAAAGAGAAAAAACATTGCTTTCAGATGTGAAAGGATTTCATATGGTGAGGTAAAGATGGTTTCAAATTGAAGATAGACAAGAACAAAGTTGACTATGAGAATCAAACTTAAAGGACGTGGACATAGCTACAACTAAGTTAAAGTTATTAAAAATATTCAAGGCAAAAATTCAATACCCTGAGATAAAATTAATGCTGGATTCTCTGTTTACAACAATAGAAGTTTTTAAAACTATTAATCTATTCTTAGTAAATTTTACCAAAATAGACAACAACAAAAACCGGCTTGGGGTCTAGAGAGATGGCTCAGTGGTTAAGAATGCATAATGATCTTGTAGAAGATCAGAGTTCAATCCCCAGAGCCCACACTGTAAGTCAAACTCCAGGAGGATCTGATGCCCCTGGGTTAGGTACCTACAGTCATGTGTGCACACCTGCCCCCAGCATGTATACAAAATTAAAAATCAATAAAAATGACTTGCTTAGAAAAACAAAGATGTTGTTTTATACTTTTATTAAACATGACATTAAAAACTTGTGATTAGATTTTATTTTTATATGTTTTAAATTTTTTCCCCATTGGTTCTGGCCTTCACTTGCTGAATATCCCCTGAATTAACAATAGGGAAAATTCCATTTAAAATAATTATTCCTGTGCTGGAGAGATGGCTCAATGATTAAGAGAGAATATTGCTCTTGTGGAGGATCTAAGTTCAACCTCATGAATACCTGCCCACACATACGTATGCACATTGTGCATACACTCACACACAACACACACAAATCTTTAAAGGAAGAATTAGTTCCAACACCCACATAGCAGCTTACAACCATCTATAACTAGTTCCAGGAGATCCAACACCCTCTGGCTTCCAAGGGTACCAAGCATACATATGGTGCACAGACATACATGTAAGCAAAATACCTATTCACATTAAAATAAATTTACAGAGTGAGTCCTTAGATTAAGGGGACTATTGTGTATAGCGTATCTGATGGCCTTAAGTTTTAGCCCCAGTACCCACATGGTGGAAGGAGAGAACTGATTTGTGCGGGTTGTCCTCTGAGTTCCACACATACCCCATGGCATGTGCATGCCCACACACTTATACACTCGCACACAAATAAAATGTAATTCTGAAAAAGAATAGGGGTGAAGAGCTCTTGGTTTTGTTTTGCTTGTTTTATTTTTTGTTTTTGTTTGGGATAGGATTTCTCTGTGTAACAGCCCTGGCTGTCCTAAAGTGCTCGGTGTAGAACAGGCTGTCCTTGAACTCACAGAGATCTGCCCACCTATACTAAAGGCTTGCATCATCAGCCACCACCTCCAGGCAAGAGCTCTTGTTTTTGCAGAGGACTCAGGGACAATTCCCAGTGCCCACCTGGTGTGGTGGTACTGTCTTTAAGTACAGATTCCTTGGGTCAAGTGCCCTCTTCTGGCCTTCATGGGCACTGCATGCAGGTGGCACACATACTTGTAGACAAAACACTCAAAAAGATTTGTTTAATTTTATTTTATATGTATGAGTAATTGCTTGTTTGTTTTAGATGGGGTTTCTCTGTGTAGCCTTGGGTGTACTAGAAATCGCTGTATAGACCAGGCTGGCCTCGAACTCACAGAGATCCACCTGCCTCTATTCCTGAGTATGGGGATTAAAGGCATGTGCCACCAACCACCCAGCAAAACAAATCTTTTAAAGCAATTAGTAATTTAAAAATAGGCAAATTCAACTGGGCAGTGGTGGTGCATGCCTTTAATCCCAGCACTCAGGAGGCAGAGGCAGGTGGATCTCTGTGGGTTTAAGGCCAGCTGATCTACAAAAGTGAGTTCTAAGATCACTAAGACCAGCCAAGACTGTTATACAGAGAAACTTTGTCTTGAAAAACATAATAATAATAAATAGTAGTAATAGGCAAATTCAGAAGATAGAAAAGATTTTTATTGTTTCTTGGGGAAAGTAATGGGTTTCTCTGGAGATGATGAAAAAGCCTCTGAAGTTACGTAGTAATGTTTCCCAACTCTGAGAATATCACACTGAAGGTCTTGTGTAGGATAGAACAAAGGGCTTTCTAGTTGCCATTCTTCCAAGTGCAAGAGCAGGAGGCAAGTGGGGCCCTATTTGGAACAAGTTCAAGTTGGAGCAAATCCTGGGCAGAGCAGAAACTAATAGACATTAAGTGATTAGGTTTTCTAGAGTGTAGTTTTGTTGGGAGCAGGGGAGGTCTGAACCCTAAGTAGGCATGCCCACCTGTCTGCCTGCCCCATCTTGGCCTTGTTGGGGCAGGAGTCTTTGTGTGATATGTGACTGACTGTTGGTTTCCTCAAGAATATTCGAAGTGAAGATTGTATATGCTGGGGAAACCTTTACCTGTTCTCAGACCCATTTCTCTGCTGGGGATTACTTCACATGTTGCCCAGGCTACTCCAGGAACAGACTGGGCTGAAAAGGGCAGGTGATGGAAGCTCAGACCTTTTGGGCAAGAGGCCGATAGGATGAGGAGTTAGGAGTATGGCTTAGTCTGTGGGTCTACCTGGGAGGGTGGGGATTCAACCTTGGGGGGTGAGAAAGGTTTTCTCAGGTAGGATGACAGGAACCTCACCCCCATACACAGCCCAGCACTGATCCACGGCTGTCATTGGTGATATCATCCTTTACCCATTTCCTTTTCTGAGCTTGCTAAGGGGTATTTTCTGTCCTTTGGAATTTGTAAGTTTGAACTTGGACCCTTGGTAGCCTCGTTCCATGACAGATGGGAAAAAGGCTTTTAGGGAGCACCCTGCGCTATCTTCTCTCCACAGAGACAGTGGGACCACGCCAGCACCCTTTGGACCTCCACCCTCCTAACCAAGGAAAGAGGATCCTCCGCAGGAATAAAACTGGGGAAATGCCCTGGACCTAGGAACATTGCTTTGGTCTGCCTGCTCTGGGCTGTCCTGTACTTCTTGGTGTGTCCATAGGTTGATGGGAAAATGCCCCACTCCAAGTAGATAAACACTTGGGGACTGCTCTCCTGGATTCAGGCAGCAGGACTGGTCAGGCCCATTGTATTTCTCTGCATGGAACTTGTCTAATTTTGTCCCTTTTATGTGTCTTTGTCCTCTGTCACTGCATGCTATCTATATAAGACCCCAAGTGCAGCTCCCCTCACACCGTTATTTGAGGTATGTAATTCATACTTGTCAATGTAGAGGCGATACTACTTTGCTTCAGAGGTAGAATACACCTTGTATACCCATCCTAAACGTGCTAAGCTGGATCCCTATGCATGGACCCAGACGAACTTCTAGCCCCCAGGCTTGTTGCTGCTAAGTTACAAATGGCCATCCTCGTGGAAAGCCATATGGTTGGTTACAGCTTCATAGTCATGCTAGGCCCTTCACACTTCATGTGGGTGAATCTTGGAACCAGCTGACATTGCAGGGCTCATGGGAATGCGGATAGGACAGGTCTCTCCTCCAAGAGTGGGAGCTCCTGACTAAGAAGACTTACTAGAAATGAAATATTTATGTGTGTGTGCAGGGCCACCTCCAGGGTTATTGTTCCATCCCTTTCTGGATGCATATGCTTGTCCAGTAAAGGACTTTCAAAAGGAGATGGTCTAGAAAGAGGCCCCCCAGGCCTCCCGAAAGGAGGCCAAGCACGGCTAATGTGATGAAACTCAAGCTAGGAGGCTTAAGGACTAAGGTTTGAGCACTAAACCTATGTCTGAGCCAGCTGCTCACTGGGGGATCAGAGCCAGAGTAGCATGGTGCTGCCCCTCTTAGGAAATAAGAATCTTTCTGAGATCTGGTAACGCATCTGTATAACCCTGCAGTTCTGCCCAAGTGAAGAATGCTAGAAGAAAAATGGGATGCCAGCCGGGGGCTGAGGATATCTGAGAGCACAGCTGGAAGGACAGAGGGCAGCTGTGTGGCTCACCTGGAAGCCAAATAATCTCTGTGGTCAATATTTATGGGAAACACTGTTGTTCCTGATGCACGGATGCTAGTGCTCACGGAAACCCTTTGAAAGAAAAAAGTTTAATTAAAAATTAAATATAGTGTATTATATATGAATATATATATATAAAGGCAAAGTAAAAAATACAGTCTCATTCTAGAAAATACATGACAGAAAAGAATTAGATGGTTCAAAAACTTAACCCTGACAGAGGCAGCTAGCACATCCAGGGCCTGGGCTTCCTAGGGAAGGCACACTGCACAGGAACTCCCAGAAGGAGGCATACGAATGACAGAAGTGGCCCTTAGGCCACCAGCTCTATAGACTGCTGCATAGCCTAACATGCATCTGCGAAAGGAAAGGAGCAGGCAGGGCCCTGCCGTTTGGCCACATGCGGAAGCGCTGGAAGGCAGGGGCAGTGCCTAGCCTGAGATACAGGCACTATAATAGACTGCGCTGCTGGCGTCAGACAGCGCAGAGATGAGGCTACTCTCCTCTGGACACGACATGGCGCGTGGACCCAGTTTGGCCAACGCCACGTGGTAGGGAAGAGTAGTGGCATCCGGTCGAGTCCGGCTGCAGTTGAGATACTGGTCGAATTCGGTGAGGTCTACATCAGCCCAAAGGTCGGCGGTAGGCTCCAGTTGCTCTGTTCCCTCAAGAGGTGCGGCCTCAGGTGGTGGTGACAGAGGACTGGGGTACGGGCCTGGCGTGCCAAGGGTGCCATAGTAGAGGCCCGCGAGCGGCGCAGCAGGCGGCACAGTCCTGAGCGCCTCAGCCAAGGGCGCCCCGTAGCAGAAGCTCGGGTCCCGTGCTAGGTCGGGGGCATAGGGTGCCCGGAAAGCCCTCACAGCGCAGTCCTCGGGTGCCAAAGGCGGTGGGAAGAAGGAGGCCTCGCCAGGCTCCAGGCCGTCCAGAGGCGAGCGCTCGGGCGTGGGTAGCCCCAAGCCATCGAACTCTGCGCCCAGCGTGGGCAGCTCGCGGAAGGAACGCGCTGAGCCTGGAGCTGCAGGGAAGGGCTCGGGCGGCGCAGTCGGCTGCACGAGGCCCGGGAGCAAGAGGCCAGGCTCCAGCCTCCGGGCCTTGCGTGCCTGTTTCTTGCGGCGAGGCCGGTACTTGTAGTTGGGATGGTCGCGCAAGTGCTGCACACGCAACCGTTCGGCCTCTTCCACGAAGGGCCGCTTTTCCGCTGTGTTCAGCTCCTTCCACGCTTTGCCTGTGGGCAGCAGGAGCCTGTTAGTGGACCGCCGTCGGGCGCACGACCAGCCGATCCCGCGTGCGCCCTGGGCGCGCGGCGCGAAAATGGCATAGAACCCTGCGCCCGGCCCTGGAGCCCCAGATCCCGACCCCCTCCCAAGAGCCCCCTCCCTTCACCTCCCCTCTCTGCGCTCTCAGCTCTCACCCAGCATCTTGCTCAGCACTGCGTTGTGCAGATCCGGGTTTTGTTGTGCCAGTCGCTTGCGCTCGTCCTTCGCCCACACCATGAAAGCGTTCATGGGCCGCCGGATGCGCAGCTCGTCGGCCGTTTGGCGCTCTCCGCGGCCGAAGCCATAGCGCCCTGACTCCGGGCTGCGCGGTGGGCTCCGCGGAAGGCTGGACGGCGAGGAGGGCTCGGCGGGCGAGACGTTGGTGACAGGGAGGCCGCGCGGCTCAGCAGCGGCCCCGAGTCCGGGGGCCCATGCACAGTCGCGGCGGGAGGGCGGGTCGTCCTGTGCGCCGTAGCCGGGCGGCGATCTCTGCATTCCAGCTGGGCAAGGCCTGGGCGGAACGCAGCGCGGGAGCGCAGAAGACAGTGGCGGGCACTGTGAAGCCAAGTTCGGAGGGCTGACGAACGTCTGATGGAGACGGTGGGGACGTGGTAGCTTGGTGCCAGGAAAGCATCCCAGATATAGAGACATCGGGCCAATCCGCAGCAGAGCGGGCGGGCCGGGGCGGGGCTGCCCCCTCTGCGGTGGCTCCCTTTTTTCTTCCCGGCAGGATCCAGCCGAGGCCTCCCCAGCGTAAAGTCCCCCGCCCCAAATGTCTCTGAAGAAGAGACCCCCGAGTAGGAGAGGGCTGCTGGTGTGGGCTGAGGCTCTAAAGGAGGGGTTCTTCAGGGTTGTCAACTTTCAGAGTGGAGCTGCCACCCCACCCACAGAGACAGACCCCCGGGCAGTAATGAGGGGAGGGGGCAGCGACATTATATTGGATGAAGGAAGATTTATTTTAGCACCAAGTTCTTGGGAGGTCACTTTCATCGTGCACCTCGGAAAATGGGATGGGATTTTGGAGATGCTCTTTCCTCTTCCTGTCTGTTGACCCTCCCAGATGCTGAGCTCAGTCGGGTAGTTCGAATGCCTCTCCCAAGTTCTGCCCTTGAGGCTGGGGAAAAAGTGAGCCTTTTCTTCCCTCTTCCATACCCAAACTCTGGGACAAGGCAAAACCTGGACCTGGCCCACAAGGGAAAGGTAGGCGCAGGGCACAGTCAGTCCCTACTCCTGTGTGTGGGCTGCTGTAGCTGGTTTCCTTGCCTAGGCCAGACAGCTGTCCCAGGAAGAGATAGGGGCCTGGGCAGGTGAGACAGAAAAACTGTGTGTTTTCCAAAAGAACCCTCATTCATTTTCTTTTTCTGTCTATCCAGCCACTCCACCAGGAAGGGTTCTGGGCTCCAGAAACTGATGGCTTTCTTCCGAGAGCTGCCTCTTGTCCATTGCCAAGCATAAACTTTGTAGAGGAAAATCCAAAGTTCTTGACAGCTGTCGGTGACAAGTGCTCTGGACACCCTGCAGCCTTCCCTGTCATGTCACAATACCCCACCTTGCACACTGAAAGAGTGAGCCCGTGTGGTTCTACAGAACCCTGTGCTGTTCCTAGGTAGTCCCTTTCTGAGCACTCTTGCCACGGGGAGATTCCCAGAGCTCCCTCTAGTCCTTCAGACTAAGGGATGGTGAATATCACTACCTGATATTTTGTCAAGTAGATATGGGATAAAGGTTCCATTATAGGTAGGCCCTGCACCTGCTGCAGGGGCATGAATTTTGAGTGGGGTGGATCTATTGGGGGTAACTCAGTACTTTCTCAGAGGGTAGGCAAAGGTGTGGACACCTAGGTGAAAATGCTTGCAGGCCCTTGCCAGTGGTCAGCTCCCTTTCAGCAGATCTGTGTGGATGGGTAGACTGAACAGGTGGCTCAGGAGGGTGGTGAACGAGGACATGAAGAGCTATGTGAAGATTTTCATTTTGAGAATGGGAGGTTGGAGCATGGGTCAGTGGTAGAGTGCTTGCCCAGCAAGCAAAAGGTCCTAGGTTCCATCTTCAGTACCACAAACAAACTAAACTACTCCCATTGGTTTTTGTCAGAAATTACCCTGACTCCATAGCTATGGATACAGGCTAGGGTTCCTCCGCTACTTTGAGATGATGTTCACTGGGGCTCCAGAAAAGGATCCCCAGATTCTTTTGCTGCGCCCTCACATACTGGGCTGGGCTTGCAGTTCTGTGATAGCTCAGAACGAGCCTCCTGTTCTGAACAGAGTATCCAGCATAACCTCATTGTTCCACCTCTCCTGTCGCCAGCCAATGACCCTCCTCATAGCCAAGCTGTGGCTCAGACGTCAGCCTGTCATATCCTGTAAGCTGGGCTGGGCAGAAGCCTGCGGGGTGCTCCCTTTTCTCTGTAGGGTCAGGCTACCCTCCCTGCCCACTGCTTGGCAGTGGTGATGCTGGCCGCTCCCACCCTCTTTCCAGATGGGACAACAATGGGGGAGGTGACTCCAGTCTGCCAGCAGGGTGGCCCTGACCCTGGAGCCCCAGGGATGGAGGGACTCCCCAAGGCTGTAGAGGGCTGCTGTGGGTGTGGCCAGCTATGCTAGGAGAGGGACATTCCATGTGAATGTCTGTGTGTCTGTGTGTGGTCTACATGTGTGTCTGTCAGGTTCCCAGGGTGTGGGATGAGGTAGACCCTAGTCCTAGAGACTGTTCAAGTCCTTGGGAGTCAGGCATGATGGACTCTCCTATAAGCAAATAGGAACTCAGGTGTTGAGGACAGGAAGTCCTACTCATGAAAAAATGTTCTCAGTACCCAGGGAAGGGACCCCCCACAAGACTTCTTTGTTAGATGAGCTGCAGCCTTAGATCTGGCCAAAGAGAGAAGGGAAAATCTGCTGTCGGAACTCCACTTGGCTTACATGGGCACTTACCCATGATAGGAGCTTGTCTATAGAACGTCGGAATGGTAGGGCAAATCTTTTCTGCTAGCGCGGGGCTGGTTTGGGTGTCAAGTGGACCCTAGCCCCCTTCCTTTCCGCCTCCATCTATCCTCCTTCGTCAGACTCCCTGGACCCCAGGCTTCCGTGAGGCCTGAAAAGGATGCTGGATAGTTCCCCTTAGTGCCTATGGTGGAGGATTGGCTTGGCTGTGTTCCGCCTGGGGGTGGTGAGACCTCCCAAGCACTGCCTGGGCACAGACCTCCCAGGCTCCCACCAGACAGCTCTGGCTGCTGTACAGCAGTGAGGCTGGGACCAATTACATAGTCCTGTAGGGCTTGGACCCTCCCACTCCCAAAGGGTGGGGTGGGGTCCCTGTCTGAGGGTAACAGAGGTCCAGGTGGATGTCTCTTTTTTGCAGTTAGCCTTCCAGTCTGGACCCTTCTGACATATGACTCTTGGCCCCAAACCTTGCTGGTCTCCCAGTCTCTGGTACCAGGAGCTAGGGGAATATGAAGATAGGGCCAGGCAACCTTTACTGCTCTCCTGGGATCAGAGACTTTAGCAGAGTCTTGATGACTTAGAACATTAGGCATATGTGACTCTCAGGCAGGGATAGGTCTGGTTTAGATGAACTAGGTCCTAGCTTAAGAGATCCTTCTACTCTGTGTTCCCAGTTTTGGAAGGCATCGTGTTAGGTTTCTGACACCTTTCTTTTGGGAAAGGACTTATTTAGGAGACAGGCTGCCTTGGTTTCATGGGTACATGCAGCATACAACATGAATATGTGTATGAGTGGGGATAGAAGTACTTTAAAATGTTTTCTTGGTAAAGTTCGCAGGTTCAGTTCCCAAGCATACAGAGCCAGAGTCCCACTCAGAACGTAGTGGGAGGGGGAGTGTTGGGGTGAGTGGGTGTTGGACTTGTGGAAGGGTAGCATGTAGGGCACCAGTGTTGGCGTACGCCTTTAATCATAGCACTTGGGAGGCAGAGGCAGGCAGATCTCTATGAGTTTGAGGCAGTCTGGTCTACAGAGAGTTTCAGGACAGCCAAGGCTACACAGAGAAACCTTGTCTCAAAAAGCAAGCAAGCAAAACAAAACAAACAAACAAACACACAAAAAGATTGAAGCTCATTGCGCTATGTAGCGATGACTCGGTTCTCGTTCATTCTGTGCCCTTTGGGCAGCAGGACTGGGTAGGAACAGTACGGATGGGAGAAGCAAATGCAACTTATTACTGCAGGGCCACCATGGATAATGGCAGACCAGAGCGCTATGGACGTGCAACAGAGTGGCTTCTGTGGGTGGGCCAGGGATCAGACATGTTTTGAAGGCTATCCCAGAGTTTCAGAGTTATTATTCTGTGGTGGGTATTATCACAGGCACTGTCCACTTTGAGAGTCGCTGGGTGAGAGTCTGGGTGAGCCATATTAGAGAAGGTTGAGGCTGCTGGGCAACGTTTTGGAGTGTTCTGGTCCAGGATGACTGCAAGGCCAATTTGTGTCCTCCAAAGTAGTCGCCTGCTGTCTACGGCCTCTGCTGCGGCAGCGCTGCTCCGGCTCTGCAGGGGCTCCATGGGAACCTGGCTGGGGAGCTGGGCTACTCATGGGTTTCCGTGGCGACAACAGGGCGGAGCCAGGAAACAGCCGCTCAGGAAGGAAGGCTGGCCTTCAGGCCAGAGAGAACCCACCGGGCTGAGGAGGCGCCAGACATTCTGTCCAGTTTCCCCAACCCCTGCTGGCCGGTGCTCTCGCCCATTCCGTTGGCCTCACCCTCGCCCCGCCCCCACACCTCAGAACTGCGGGGTCTTTACATAAATAGTAACTTTTATTCTCAGCTCTGTGCATGGCCTGGGTTTGTGGATGTTGCTGTCTTTGTTTTCATGAATGCTTCGGTACCCTTTGTGGTCTTTGCCTATAAGGTGGGCTAAAAATGCAGGCATACTCGGGTCTCTTGAGGCTTCTGGAAGGTAGTACCCATTCTGAATGCCCTGCCATGTTGGTCTGCCCCTTCCTTGCTTTGACAGACTGGGAAATAAAGATAAAGAGAGACCAAGGCAGAGAAAGAACACATCTATCTTCTCTTCCTCCCTCCCTTCAGGTCATTTTTCTTCTTTTTTAAAAATGTTGCTAACTGGGCCAGGAACGGTGGTGTATGCCTTAAATTCCAGCACTTGTGAGGCAGAGGTAGGTGGGTCTCTGTGAATTTAAGGCCTGCAATGAGTTTCAGGACAGCCAGGACTAAGTAGAGAGACTCTGTCTCAAAAACAAACAAAAACGTTGCTAGCTATAGTGGCATTGGAACTCACTATGTATCTCAGGCTGGTTTCTGTTTTCTGAGTTTCAGGGTTGTACGGGTAGAAATCACACCCAGCTTTGTATGCTTCCCCCACCCCTTTCCTGACTGGTGACAAATGGCTTTGGTGGGAACCGGCTGACTGTTTAGGGACTTGTGCTCTTCTTTGCTCAGAGACAGAATTCATTAGGGTCGGGGTTATTGAGCCCCCTTCTGACTCCGGTCTGCCTTCTGAGGTAGGAAAATTGGTAGCTCCAATTCTTGCTGTGACATGTTTCCATTCTGGTGTGGAAAGGTTAAAAATCAATAAATCACAAATAAGTCCGTAATGGGAGTGCTAGGTATGAGAGGGGGCTATGTCAGTATCTACACCCTGTTTTTTCATGAGTGGTTTTTGAGCCCACACCTGAAAGAAACGTGAAGAAACCATACAAGAAGCATGCTACCCAGATGGGGAGCTGTTTAAAGTCACTGCGGAGGGTGTAGGGGGGGGGGAGGGATGAAGCATGAGGGTTGAGGATCAAGAGGCCCAGTGCAGCCTGGAAGGATCTTGTTTTTTCCTTTGAATGTGACTTCGGAAGAGCTTTCAGTGACTTGGCATCCCACAAAGCTCAGCTCGGCTTTGCTCCTGCAGGGGCTTGGCTGTGGCTGACTTTGTCCGGGCTGGTCTCTGCAGGATGGCAGGCAGGCCAGGCAGACAGGCTGCCTTACAGTTCCACAGGTTTGCTGCCTCTGAGTCAGACCTCCATGCTTCATCCACTGCCTCTGACCCTGTGGCTGCCTGGGGCTCCTTAGGGTAGAAGGGTGGAGTGGCCGCCAGGCTGGCGGGCTGGCAGGGCAGGGGGGCGGCATTTCTGGGAATTGTGTGGGGGAAGCACATTCACATTGTTAGAGCAAGCCTGCAGCTAGGGCCTCAATGGCCTCTAGGGGATGCCTCCTGCCTCCCTAGCCCTGCCTCTGGCGGGGGAGGAGGGGGACAAAGCTGGACCCTGGCCAGGCTGTGGGCTGGCGGGGGACTTTCCAAACAGACATTTCCATGAGCCCATGGCTCTTCCCATTCTGTAGACTAGGAGACTGAGGCTCGGAGAGCTGGCATGTACGCAGACAAAGGCAACCCTCATGTGCCCAGCCTCCACCTCCTATCCCCAAATGACCAGAGACTCGGATCTGTTTCTAGCCACTGCCCTGTCTGATCACAGAAGCCAGTGTCCAAGGAGGGCCTAAGGTGGGACTGGCGATGGTTATAGCCCTGTGGTGGAGACCTGTGACCCCCCAAATGGGCCAGAGGGCCCCGAGACCTTCATGCAGGGGAGTGATTCCTTTATGGTGGTAGGATTAGGACCTCCTGGGGCTTAGGATGTCTCCCAGTCTGTGATGTCGGGGAAACAAGGGGCTCCGTGTGAGCTTGGCAGTGTGAGTCTTCCCACCCACCACCGCCCTACCGTGGCCAGAGGGGAAGCATTCAGGCCACCACTGGGGTCAGGGCCAGCTCTGGGCAGACTGGGATTGGGGGTAGGGATCACAAATAGAAAAATAAATGGCTTGAGCTTCCGCTGTTTCCTGAACTGAGGAAGGGGGATGGACAGGCTTTGGGCCAAAGGTGCAGTTGGCCTGGTGGGGCAGAGCCTGGGGATGTCCCATGATCCCACCCCATTAGGGCATTGTTTGCCCTTTTCAGACCTTCGAGCTGGAATATCTCCTCCCCAGGAACCCTAGAGTAGGGCAATGTTGCTCACTGAGGGCTCCTGAGGTTGGAGAGCCACTGCAGGAAGGAACAGGTTTTTAAGGAAAACTGGGTGTACCCCAGGAAGGTTGGGTGCAAAAGCCAAATGATGAACCGCGAAGAAGTCTCATCTAGGTGTTCTGGGAACTTGGAAAAGCCCTCGGTGGTAGATAGGATGGGGTGGGGGGTAAGCAAGGCTATCTCCCAGAAGCAGGCAGGTGTGTCCCTCTCCATCACCCTCAGAGGGCTAGGGTAGAGGACAACACCATGTTGGAATGAACACCTGTTGGTGTTTAGATGGTCTTTGGTGGGGAGGTTTCACTGAAGATTAAAACTCCCAAAGTCAGCAAGGTGTGTGTGTGTGTGTGTGTGTATATACTGATGTTGTGGGAGGTTCTCTGAGCAAGGGCCAGAAGGTTGGATTGAAGCTCCTGTAGGGTCTGGTGTTAGCGTTTTTTTTTTTTTTTTTTTTTTTTTTTTTTTTTTTTTTTTTTTTTTTTTTTTTTTTTTTTTTTTACATGGTCTCTCATGTAGCCCTGGCTGCCCTCAAACTGGATATGTATCTGAGGATGACTTTGAACTTCTGATCTTCCTGCCTCTGCCTGTCAAGTTCTGGGAGTACAGGCTGGGTTACAGTACAGTACCTGTGATGCCTGGTTTGATGCAGTACTGCGGATTGAACCCAGGGTTTCCTCTGTGCTAAGCAAACACTACCAACTGAGCTAATCCCCAGATCAGGGAATGAAGTTTTCTAAGGCTGAGCTGTGGAGATATCTAGCTGGTCAGTGCAAGCCCCACAAGTGAGGACCCCTAAGGAATGAATACATCTTTGATCTGGCTTTTTATTTTATTTTATTTATTTTTATTTTGTTATCATAGCTCCCCTGCTGGTGATCCTCTGGACTTTCCTCTAAAAGAAGCCACTGTCTGAGCAGGTTTGTGGGTTGCTTCTGCCACCTACAGGCTGCTGTTTTTCACACTGGGATGACTACTTGGAGGTGGACAATCCCTTCAGCCAAACAGCATGGTTGAAGGCCACGTGATTCCTTTATTCCCTGTGCTATGGTAGGGTCCTGCAAGCGTCAACTCGATGATCAAACACAGGGTTCCCTTTCTCAGAACTTATTTGGTTGGGTTTGGCTTAGAGCAAGGGCCCAGTGCCAGTAAAGGGCAGAATCAGAGTTGGAATGGAAGCTGGAGAGCTGTATTTATCCATCACTGCACCTCTGGAAAAGCTTTGTTTGTTTGTTTCAAGACAGGGTCTCATTACGTAGCCCTAGCTGTCCTGGAACTCACTATTTAGACCAGGTTGGCCTCGAACTCACAGAGATCTGCCTGCCTCTGCCTCCCAGGTGCTGGGATTAAAAGTGAGCACTGCTATGCCCAGATCTCTTTATTTATGGTCATAGTGCCAGGGCCTTGTGTGTGTAGCTAGGGTTCTACCTCTGAGCTACTTCCCGAGCCCTTGCCTGTTGTTTTGATCTGCATCTCCCTAATGGCTAATGAGGTTGAGTGCCTTTCACAGGCTTGCTGGCATGTACGCTTTCTTTGGGAACATGTCTGTTCAAATCCTAGTGCTGTGGGACAGGGTGCTGAAGATGTCATAACTGATTAAATGGTCAGCCCAGGCCATCTGTCAATTCCGTTTGCACCCTGGCCTCGTGGTCACTACGGGTACAATTCAGACACCTGTCTTTTGGCACCACAGAAGAGGAACAGGATACCTCTTTTCCTTGCCTTGGCATGGCTGTGATGTTCCTGCGACACTGACTCACTGTCTGATTGTCCTGCTTTGTTCTCAGTGTATAATGTGAATGGGATGATCCTGATCACAGCCTCTGCCATTCTCACTTAACAGGTTGGGAGACGAGCAGAACCTGGGATATACACCCTGTGAGGTTGACTTCAGAGGCTGGATTCTTGCCCAAGAAGCCTTTTCAGAGAGTTGGGGGTCCACACAGCCCAGTGTGAGCCGCATCTGCGCAGAAGCAAGAACGACCTAAATTTGGCTTGGCAACGATTGGAGTGTGTCAAGTCCAACCGGGCGTAGGTTGAGCAGAGAGGTCCCAATGCCACGGAGGCGGAGGCGACCGGACTCGACCAGCGGAGGAGCACAGCCTCGCCAGCAAGCGGCTCAGAAAGGGTTTTGTTCAACACCGCAGCGCAGTGGCTTATCTTTACTCCTCCCCTCAAGCTCCACCCTCTCCCCAGCTTTCAGAGGGTGTGTGGGGCGGACGTAAGGAGGAACTATCTTTTCCAGTGGGTCGCGCGCCACGCGCCACGCAGTCGTCTGGGAGTTGTAGTCCCGGGGGCGGAGACTTTTTTTTTTTTTTGATTGTGTTGCACGCGGCCGCCAGGGGAGGTTTGGACCGCGCATCTAGGCGGCGGCGGCGGCGGCGGCGGCCGAGGTCGGGCCGGGAGGCTCAACTGGCGCAACCCGCCGCCACCGAGGTGGTGATGGGCAAGGAGGAGGAGATTGCGCGGATCGCCCGGAGGTTGGACAAGATGGTGACCAGGAAGAGCGCGGTGAGGGGCGCGGGCCGCCAGGACCCTGGGGCCCCCGCTCCGCGGAGACCCACCGAACCCACCCACGGGGAGAATGATACTCAGACCAGTCGAGACCCCTGCCCCGGGCCCGCCCTCTACCTTGTCCTGGGACTACTGCTTCGCACTGGACTTCAAGTTGACTTGAGAGCCGCCCACTGGCCCCATCGCCCAGCGGTGGGCGCGTGCGTTCTTAGTCCAGCCGTTGTCTCCCATGTCTGCCCCCACCCTCCAGAACCAGGTTTCTCTAATACTCCCCACCCCCAACCCCGTTTAGGCCTCAGGCAGCAGTAAGCCGGTGTGGGAGACAGTAGATTCCAATAAGAACCTGTATCCTTGAGACCCTTGTAGACCAACTCTGCCCCTCGTCTTGCTCCGAGGCACTGTGGGCTTGGCAGTCTAGCCCGCCTTTCGATCGACCCTGGCCACTCTTGTAACCTTTCAGGAGCATCCTTAGAGGACGGTGGCACTTGCATCTTTTCTTCCGTGGGTGGGAAGGGACCAGGAGGTAGCCTTAAGGCTAAGTATGACCCGCCCATCCGCGGCACCAATCCCCGGGGCAGCCCAGATGGTGGCTGAGTCATGTCTGTAGAGCCTCCCCAGGTCTGTACTTGGAGTGGAGGGCTGCAGGACAGATTTTGGGGATGCCCCCAAAAGGATTGCCTTGGGTTCCTGTTGTTCAGGGTTGGAGGGCTGGGGTCTACTCTGCAATCACCTGCACTGCAGAGGCTTGCTGGTGCTTCTTTCCTCTAAGGGTGTTAAACCCAAACGACAGCAAGAGTGGAAAGTCACAGACAGGACTGTACAGTGGAGAAGGGAAATGACAGAGGTTCCAGGAGGTTGCAGCAACCTGAGAGGCTGATTGGTGTACAGTCTCGGAAGCAGGATCCGCTTTAGGGCCACCAAACAAGGCTGCATTTTGAGCAGATAATTAACACAGATTGGAGGTTAGCTCCAGACCCTCCCATTGCCTCTAGTATGGAAGGTTTGAATGAGCTCATAGTGGCAACCTGGAGGATAGCAAGCACAACAGTGTTGGGTGTTGGAAGAGTCTGTCTCGGTTGTAGGAAGGAGGAATAAAGCTTTGAAGTGCCAGGGAGAAGAGCAGTCTTAGGCAGAATGAGGGTTTTAAGGTAGGAAGAGGAGGAGCCTTCAAGGTGCAGCCTGTCTGTAGATACTGAAGAATAGAGCTTGGCAGGGGAAGAAAACCAGGCTTGTCTGTTAAAATATTTGGAAGTGCTGCACTGACGGATGGGCACTTTGAGGAGGCTGCTCTACCACTATGGCACAGATGGACTACGGCTAAGGAACCTGAGTTATATCTCTGAGTGTCCTTCCAAGAACTGGGGCATATTTTTTTTTCTCTAGTAGTTTGCTCAGTGACCTGATGTGGTTACCATGAGGTCTGGAGGTCACCACAGATGCAGGGTGAGAAACCACCCGATCTTTGAGAACACTGTTAAGCTGTTTGCCTCAATTTCTTTCCTAGTGATGTACGGCCATGTACGCAGTGCTCTGGTCTTCTTAAGGTAGAGGAGTGGCTTCCTTCTGACACATAAATTTTCTCTCATGATCAGGAAGAGGTGGGATTGTTTAATGCCCTTTATGAAGGCCGTTTTCTCTTCCAGGAGGGAGCCATGGATTTGCTGCGGGAGCTGAAGGGCATGCCTGTTACATTACACCTGCTCCAGGTAAGCGCTTCCAGTCCTGGTCTAGGATGGTTCCAGAGACAGCAATTCCAAGAACAGGGCTCCTTATATGACTCCCACAAGGCTTAGCTGGCACAAACAACTGTTCTAAGGAGAGGGTTTCTGATTCTCTCTGGTGATCAGTGGGGTGGGAGGGGGGTGCTTGCGAGAGGTGTCCTTCTGCCCCTGCCCATTCCCTAGCCCTTCCCTGTGGGAGCCAAGAGCCCCTACCACCTCTGACCCGGACACTTGTCTTGCAGTCCACCCGTGTTGGGATGTCTGTCAATGCCCTGCGGAAGCAGAGCTCGGATGAGGAGCTCATTGCGCTGGCCAAGTCCCTCATCAAGTCCTGGAAGAAGCTCTTGGGTGCGGGTCAGAATGTAAAGGGTGGCTCGTGTTGCTCAGTACAGCATAGAGTGCCGGCCCTGCTATGCTTACTCAGGCTGTCTGGTTGTGGGATACAAAACAGGCCAGAAAGTGCCCATCCCTGGGCTGGAAGTGAATGAGGATGATGGCTGTTATCTGTTGTGGTGGGGAAGGGGATGGCCTGGGAGGGTGTATGCCTAGGAGGAGGTTTTCAAACTGCAGGAGGTCAACAGAAAAGGAGGCCCAGATTAGGATATTCCAGCTGAAAGAGGAGGAGGTGGGGCCGCTACCTATCTATGCAAGAGGTGAGCTAGGCAGACAGCAGCTATTTGTGGGGACAGTGGATAACTGGGCTGCGGAGATGGCAGCCATTCTTGGGCTTTGTCTACAAAGCTCTCTGAGACAACTCAGGATCTGCCCCTCCTTACAGTCGTCACATGGCTGTCGAGAGGCTAGCAGTGTAAGTTTGTCCTGGTCCATAGTTCAGGCTTTGGGCAAGGCCCTGCCCATGTTGTCAGAAGAAGCCTTTTATGAGGCATATGCAGGTTCAACCTGAAGAATCCCACAGCAGCTTGCTTGAGTGAGGCTTAAGGAAGGTGGGTCCTGAAGAGGCTGGTGGGCTTGCTGGGGACTGGGAGGAAGGTCAGGTGGCCTCCTGGTACTTTGCTTGTCTAATGGCTTTAAGCAGTGGGGATAATGGCCAGGTTGAGGCTGGGCTAGCACCTGGCTGCCTAATCCTGACCAGACTATACCATTCGTTTTCTGATAATGGCAGATGTTTCTGATGGCAAGACCAGGGATCAAGGGAAGGGCACGCCTCTGCCCACATCGTCCTCAAAGGATGCCTCAGGGACTGCGGATCTCAGGTAGCATATCTGAAGGCAGGTATATACATTTCTGCCTCTTGCCTCAGTTTCCTCAGTGGGAAAAGAAGGCTGATGTCCATTTGCCTGGACATTCCCCTGAGGGAGAGGCCCTCTCCAGGACACCATTTATAAGGTTAGCCAGCCTCATGATGGATACTGCCCCACCCACCGAAGATATCTGGCTGTGTCTGCCTGGCTGTCAGTGTCATTGAGACCTTCAGTAAGGAGGGGCTACCCAACAGGAGCTGGCCTGGCCCCAGGCTCCCTTTCCTGCATCCTTAGACCCTATCTTTTTGCTGCTCAGCAGGATTGGTGAATGGGTCCCTCATGCAAATGCTATTGGAGCTACAGGTGGGCACAGCCCATATCTCCACATTCAAGTGTTGCCACACCACTGCCTTAAAGGTGGTCAGGGCAGACCTGTTACCATGGAGACAAGGGGCACTGTTAGTCACAGGCCATGGATGAGAGGCTGCTTTGATCAGATGGTAGCAGTGGCCAGGCCATAACAGCCTATGCTCTGAGCTCTAGCCTAGCAGTCCAGATATAATGTTATTATGTCCTGAGCTCATTAGCACGCCTGTACAGATGATTTTGCTCCAAAAAGCCCCCTGATGCTGCTGGTTTCCAGAGGAGAGGGCCTGGTGGGTGGGTATAGCATGACTGTTGGACAAGCCTTTCACTGAGCCCAGACCTGAGATCCTTGCCCAATTTCATTTGTGTTGTGTGGTCACCTGTGACATTAAGACTTGACTTTGGGTGACTCTCCACCTCATCTTTACTCCAGGCAACCAGAAGTATCTGCCTTATTCTGCCATTAGCAGACAGGTGTTCACAGCATGGCCCATGTCCTGGGTTTCTTGGGAAGCAGACACTGGAGCTAGCAAGAATATCTCAGCCCAGTTTGACCAGAGAGCACTGCTCAGACACAGAGTGTTGAAGGCTCTGGCATCCACTTGGGGAGTGATCAGTGATCCACTGTGGACCTTCTAGCCAATGCTATTCTCTGACGAGGGCAGAGCACACAAGCATTCTAGGCTGAACTAAGGATGGACCTAGCTGGGGTCTGTCAGGATAGAGCAAATGGGCTTTGGGGGTCAGCATGGCATCTGCATTTTCTTTTCTGGGGATTATCACAGAGAGGGCACTAGGTAGCCAACAGTGGTGTCCAACAGCTGCTGGATGCACAACTTGCCTTAACAAGCTTAGTCTGAGCCCAGCTGGCTTTGTCTCTCTAGCTGCAAGAAGCCAGACCCACCTAGGACCTCATCCACTCCGAGGATCACCACATTTCCTCCAGTACCCATTACCTGCGATGCTGTACGAAACAAATGCCGTGAAATGCTGACTTTGGCCCTGCAAACAGACCGTGAGTATTGCAAACTCTGGATTTTGACACTTCTCCAGATTCACAGGGTGGCCTGGACCTCTGCCTGCTTTCGAGGTTGCTGCCTGAGAGATAACACTTTCTCTCTCTTGTTTGAGATAAGGTTTCTCTGTGTAACAGCTCTGGCTATCCTGGAAATTGTTTTGTAGACCAGGCTGGCCTTGAATTCACAAAGATCCACCTGCCTCTGCCTTCTGAGTGCTGGGATAAAAGGCATGCACCACCACTACCTGGCAACAGCTCTTCTCTTTAGCCCACTGTGACTTAGGGAGGAGGTGGGGTTTTGGAGTCATCAGAACACCTGTATGTTGGGGTCTCCCAGGAATGCAAGTGCCTTCTAGAGCTCTGTGCAAGCAGAGGGGTGGCAGGTGGAAAAAGCCAGTGGGGGGGGACTAATGAGGGTTCCCTTTTGCAGATGACCATGAGGCCGTCGGTGTAGACTGTGAGCATCTGTCAGCTCAGATCGAGGAGTATATCCTTTGTACAGTGTATACAAGGTCCAAGACTTCTGGTAGAATCTTTAGGCCAGTGAGCTGTGCTTCTCCAGTAGTTGTTAGACACCATTGGCAGATTACCCAGCGCTCTCTTGGGGTGGTCCCCTAACTTTACCTGGGCCATAGATGAGTAAGGGGCTGTGACTACTTAATATATAGATCTGGGCCTCAAACAGGAACAACACTATAGCCCCTCAGTTCCCCACAGGGCTTGAGTGGGCAGACTCATGACTCCAAGGAGGGGATGGAGCTCAGAAACCTCAGATGCATCCTTAAATACCCTTACGCATCTTCCTGGACGTGGGAAACACAGACATGAAGTACAAGAACCGTGTGCGGAGCCGAATCTCCAACCTGAAAGATGCCAAGAACCCTGGCCTGCGGCGGAATGTGCTGTGTGGTGCCATTACACCCCAGCAGATAGCCGTGATGACATCAGAGGTGAGCCCCAGTGGAAGGGCTGGGGCAGGCTGTTTGTATAGAGCTGCAGGCTGAGCACTTGGCCCCTTTATCAGGAGATGGCCAGTGATGAGCTGAAGGAGATCCGTAAGGCCATGACCAAGGAGGCCATCCGTGAGCATCAGATGGCCCGTACAGGTGGCACACAGACCGACCTGTTCACCTGCAGCAAGTGCAGGAAGAAGAACTGCACCTACACGCAGGTTGGGGTCCACTCTATCTCCCTTGGCTGGGACCTCAGGGCATACCAATCCTCTCCATGGATACCACCTTTGTCCCTACTTCTCCTGGTCTGGGGCTCTGTGCTAGGGCTAAGTGGCTTGGTCCTGCCCAGCTTGGAGAGACAGGAGTGTAGTCTTCTGTTTGGCAGTGGCTGTGGGACCTTCAGACCCTGCTATGGAGGTGGAAGCTTAAATATTTTCGGGAGACCATGTGGATTCCAAGATATACTGGGGACTTGGGAAGAGGGAAGTGTTATTAAGATGCCTTATGGAAGCTGCCATCATCTGTAACAGGGCATGAGGGGCAGAGCAGCTGTCTCCACTACCTGTAAGGACTAAGCCCTGTCATAGAAGGTTTTCTCTTCCGTCTCCCAGATGACCAGGGCCACTGGCATCTCTGCTGATCCTTTCAATATATAGACCCTCCTTTGGGAATTCTGTACTTAGCCAACACTCTGGACTCTACTGAGCCCAGTTGTTCAGGCCCACAAAGATCTCTGTTGTGGTGATCTACCTTCTCCATAGACTTATGGAGGTTTTAGAAGGTTGAGGTCACTGGGAAGTTTCAAATCAAGTCAGCAGTAGAGATTGGGGATTCAGCCACCCACCTTACAGGTGCAGACTCGCAGCTCGGATGAGCCCATGACCACTTATGTTGTCTGCAACGAGTGTGGGAACCGCTGGAAGGTAGGTGGGTGGGCCCAGAATGCTCACCTCCAGTCCAGTCTCAGAATATATTGGACCTGAAGTAGGAACCAGGGCCCACTGTACCGATAGCCTCCTGGGAGTCTCTGGGGAGGAGCCCCATGCCTGTCCATCCTGTTACTGCCCTGGGGGGTGGTGTGTGTCATGTGGGGCCTTGGCCAGACACTTCCCTACCTTCCTGCAGTTCTGCTGAACCCTTGTACGTACTGATGTGTTGTAGTCCTGGCCATGGCTAGCATTGCCCCCTCCTGCAATGTTCTTGGACACAGCTTCTCTGGAGATCCCCAGAAGGTGGCATGCCCTGTCCCAGCCTGCCTGCCTGGTGTGCACCTTTCTGCCCTTTGTCCCTCATTATTAAATGTTTTCTTTTGCCTTCCTCTGGCCTTGCTCCTGGTAGGGACTAAACACTGGCTCCAGCTGGGTCTGTCCTTCCATTGCTGCCTGGGCTCAGACAACACTTGAGCTAAGCTGCCTTGGGCAGTGCAGGCAAGAACATGTCTGTGATTCTAGGATACTGGTGGTCTGCTCATCTGTGTCCCACCATGCTGACTGTGTGGGACTTGTTAGAACAGGACCTTGCCCAGTGTTCACCCATCCTCACCAGACACTGCAGCCCAAGGACCTGGTACCCTCTCAGGATGTTTTGCTCCATCCTTCACTCTGCTCACCACATGGGGGAGGATGGTCTCTGGGCTGAGGTCAATTCTAGCTTCAAATTGCTGAAACTTCCAGCAACTTGAAGGACTAACGTAGTGGGTGCTTTGCTTTATTGGACTCATAAGATGAAGATGACATTGTACCCAGCTACCTTGAGGAGGCCAAGCCTCTAGGAAGACATCTCACCAAGTACACAAGGGTTTGGGATAATCTGCAGTTGCATCTTAAGCCTTTGTGGAGCACTGACCCACTTAAGAGTTGAGGCCAGTTCCTAGAGCTATACCTTGGGCAGGGCCCAGAAGAGTCTGGTGGATGATCCTCTTCTCTGACCTCCTACCCCAAATGTGGGATAAATGGAAACTTGCTTTTAAAGGGTCAAGAATACTATATCATGTTTTTGGCATGTGCAGGAATACAGATGAATGTGAAAGCTTTCTTTTTTCTTTTGATAAAATGTACAATAAGGACATGTTTCCAATTTTAAAGTTCATTAACATATAAAATATAAATGGGCTCCTTTTTTGAGCCTGACTCTGAGGTCCTACATCTGGTTCTGCGGAATAAACAGTCTTGCTACAAACCTGTTGGCACAGAGGTTGTTCTCTATGAGAACATCTCCTGGGCACGTGACTGGAGGGTCTGAGGCACCATCTCGGAGAACCCCCAGCTGGAACAGGCTAGGGCAGAGCAGAACATTGCAGTTGCCACTGGGACTGAGTCTATATCCAGCCAGATGGGGCAGGGTTAGCCCCTAGTCTGCCCACAGGAGCAGGGCATCTGTTTGGCAAGCACCTAGGCCTCAGAGGAGGACTGTGGGGCCCCCTGGAGTAGCAGAGAGCGGTAGGCGGGGGAGGTGAGGAAGCGAGGGTAGGAGTCCCGGTGCATGAGGGTGTAGATCTGCAGCTGCGCATCATCAAACGTGTGTGGTGATGGCTCTTGCATCTTCCTGTTGATGCCTTCTCGCACACGGGAGTCCAGGCTCACCTATGTGGCAGGCACCAAGGTCAGGAGGTGGGGCGGGGCCCTTCCCAGGCCACCCTCACTTATCCCTGCATCTGGCGCACCTCCTTGGGGGACAGGATGGACACGTAGTCCTCATAGATAAGTCGCGCCTTCTCGTCTACCACATGTTGGTTGGCCTCTGCTTTCAGCTCCTCACAGGCCAGCCAGAAGAGCATGTTCTCTTCGCTGTATTCTGTGCGCAGGAATGCCCGGAATACACTGCGGCCCGTGGGGCTATGCATTAACTTGTCAAAGGACTGTGCCCAGCTCTGTACTTCCTCAGGACTTGGTGGAGTGCTGCAGGTATTAGGGCCGGGCCATGTCAGAACTGAGACGTGCACACAAACACACATACACGCATGCACACACAGTGATGGCTGTACTCACCAAACTTCACAGCTGGGGAGGGGTTGCAACTTGCTTTCCCGAGAAGCCTGCCACGCTCGCTGCCGTTCTTGGTTCCTAGTGGCAAATGAAAGTGGCACTACCTTATGCAGTTGGGTTCTCCACACACCACTCTGGCACGTGGTTGCCTAGCACCAGTAAGTCTGTTGCAAGGAAGGAAGCTCCTAGTGTGAGCCTTCTTCACATCCTCTTGTTCCCCCACTGAGGCCTCTTTCCTGGTCAGCAGCTGGACTGTTCTGGTTCCTGGTATCACTCCCTCTCTTTGGACTGCTGGGTAGAACCATACTCCTTAGCCTAGTTCCAGATCATTCTAGAGATCACTGAAAAGTCTGCACTTAAGGCCTAATATCAGCAATATGACTCGTTGGCTAATGTAGGGTAAGAGCCCCTCCAATGTGTCTGTACCTGTCTGATCCTCCAAGGGAAACTTCTTGTCAGTATGTGCTCAGTTGGCACAACGACCATCTCATTCCCACACTTGTGGAGACAATTCAGTTCCCACCAGACCTGGCTTCTCAGCAACAATACAGCTCAAGCTTCCAGTGAGCCCTACCCATTCATATTTCACTCCTTGAATCTTGCTTATACATAGTGCTGGGTGGCTTGCTGTTCAATAGATCCCTCAGTCTGTGTAGGGTCAGATTGCTATAAGGTAGGAAACTACTCCTGCCATCAGACACCCCCAAACCTTAAATACTTTTCTGTCCAGGGCCAGCTGTTCCCTTACCCAAGTCTCTTCTCAAATGTGTCTTCAACTGCACATAGTCTGGGGTCTGGGCAGCTCTTAGTGGTATAAACAGGTTTTGGGTAAGAGCATGGACACCACTTGCTTGGCTCTTGAATGTAATACCCCAGCATACCAGGTTTAAAGGACACACGAAGGGGCTGGAGGATTGCTCAGTGTTAAGAGCGCTCGTTCTTTCACAGACCAAATGCTGGCTCTCGACCATTTGTAACTCCAGTTCCAACACCTTCTGGCTTTTTCAGGTTCCAGATATGCCACAGAGACATAATCAGGCAAAATACTCAGACACATAAAATTTAAGAGCCATATAAAGTCCCTTAGAGGATCTGGGCACTACTATCAGCCAACAAGACTCAGCAATCTCTAGACAGGGCAGTGCTGTGGCTGGGGCACCTGCCTAAAGCTAGTTTCTTGGAAGCCTCTGGAGGGTCTAGGGAGCAGGACTGGGTCTGAACCTTAAAAGCCACCTCATCCCACCCCTTCATGCTTCTGTACCTCTCCCATGAGCTGCTCCCCAGGTCTACATACCCGTTTGGTGCTTTATGAACCATGTACCCCTGCCCAAATGCCCTGGGGTCTTCCCAGTGCAAGCTACACCCTCAAGTTCACATACCAGGAGCAACTGCAGCAGCAGCACCAGCATAAACAGCAGGGGTTGCGACTGGGGGGTCCTGAAGGGGCTGCATCATGGCTGGACATCAATGGGGGCCTGTCTGCCTCCTCTGGTCCTGTGTGCTGAGGAAGAGGGGGTTGCCTCAACCTCCACTCCAGAATTCACTGGACCCTATGTCTCTGCCCACCTGCCCAATGGACTGTGTACCCAAGGTCATGACATTTTGGGCCTCAGGTGTCCAGGAACCCAATTAGAGGTGGGAAGTGCCTACCTGTTTCTCAGCCTCATGTGGGGTGGGCATGGGTGGGTGGAGGGGGTTGCCAGGTTCTGTGGTGCCAGCTCTGGATCTTCAGTGCAGTCTGGGAGTCTGCTGGATCTGAGAAGAACATTGGAGTTCTGACTGAGGTCTGTGACCTGGACCACCTTGTAACTCTGCACCCCACCTCAGGGAGAGGTACCTCAGAGGGAGCTTGGTCAGAGCTCTGCCAAGTCTGCATGCTTACCCCATATAGAGGTGCCGGAGATGGGGATACTGCAGTTGGGCCTCCCATAAATGGCTCTAAGACACCCCCATCTGCTCAGTCCCTGAGAAGCCGGAAGCCTGGGTTCCTCTTTCTTGGCTTCCGGCTCCTGGCCCCTCCCAAGAGGACTGGAGCTACAAGCTGGTATGGAGGTGGGTAGAGATGCTACCCAGATGACTGCAGAGGGCTAGGTCTGAGCATTGAGTACTTGAGTGGGCCTCAGAACGACTTCCCGAAAGTGAGGAATGGGGTAGAGGGGGGTATGCCCTGAGGAGGTGTGTACGCAGGTAACAAGGTTCTTTGGCCCTCGGCTGCCTCAGACACTCCCATTTAGGATGCAGAAAGCAGGGAATGCTAACTATGGAAGCTGGAGTGGCAACGTGGGAGGACCAGCTGCTTAGTGAGAGCCTTGGGCTCTTCAATGGGTTTTCATAGGGTTTATCATTCTTGATGTTTGGACCACACTTTTACGGGGGAAGAGGCGGGGGGGGGGGGGGGGTCTAGGAACCTCTCAGGCCACTGAAAGCTGACTTCAAATTCCAATGTCCCCAGGAGAAGCATAAGCTAAAGCATCCAATTAGCATGCTGGCAGCGGCTTTGAACGCCTCCTCTCTCCCCAGCCTGTGCCCATTTCTGTCCAAGATGGAGGCCATCCAGGTTTTAAGATCTCTGCTCTGTCCACCTTCCTCTCGTCAGACTGGGGCTCACATTACTTTCTTGATGAAATTCACCCCCCTGTAGCCCCCCTCATCCAGCAGAGGTCCTTTAATCCTGTTCTTCCTCAGCTCTGTCCACTGAGGGTGTAGCCTCACCACCTGACTTCTGAGATGATGGGTTCCCAAGTCTCCCAGCATGCAAACCAGGACACAGAAGTAGCTTGGGCTGTACTTCCCTGGGGCTGAGCTTCTAGGGAAAGGAAGGGGTGTGGTAGCCTGAAGTCTCTAGGCTCTCCAGAGTTGTCCTTCATACCCTCACCCTGAAGACCACCCCGCGGCCGATGTTCCATCTCCAGTCAGCAGACTGGACAGGGAACAGCCTAGGGTGTGGGGCCTGGATGCTGTGGTCCACTGGGGGCCTGCCCTTTTCCCAGCTGCAGGTTCTGGCTCCTTGTACCCATCAATGGTCAGTTGGGACCACCCACGTCGTCCAGGGTGCTCTTGACTACTGCCTCCCTTCTTTCTGGGGAAGGGGAGCCCAGACTCTGAATTAGGGTTTTCCTGCCCTACCTGCGAATATTGGAGGGCTCCTTCCCTCCCCAAGCCTCCCAGGCGTTGGCCCCCCAAGTCTATGCAGAGAGACCAGATGCAGCAAATCTGGTCTCTGAGGACAGAAGCTCCCTGGGGAATGACTGCGGAGTTGCTCCACAGAAGAAAAAAGAACGTCCAAGCCTGCCCAGTCCCTCCCCCTAAACCCCCCCCCCCGCTTAAGAAAATGGGGCAATTCCAGAAAAAAAAGTCATAACCTTTTGGGGGGGCTAACGGGTTCCATTCCCACTTCCATCCCACACTGTCATTGTCCTACCTGTACCTCCATGGCAGGCCAGACCTCTCTCACCATGGCGAACCCTGCTGCCCAAGCCCACCTGAGGAGTGGTAGGCCCCCACCCAGTTCCTGCTTTCTGCTGGTGGGGTCATCTGGAGGTTGGTCTCTTCTCCGCGGTCCCTCTCGCAGTCTCTGACTGCCCCCACCCCTTTCTTAAGGAATTCGCCATGGCGCCCCACTCACCAGCGACCTAAAGGCGGATGGGGGCGGGAGGGCCAGGTTCGGTCTGGGCCCCACCCTGGCTGCCGAAGGGGCGTGCTCTAAAGCAGCAGGGACTAAAGTCAGACAGCAAGATGTTCTCCTGGGTATTCGCGAGGTAGGAAGGCGCACAGAATCCCGCTCAGGTGGGGACGGGGAGTGCAACATTCACCCCTAAGGCTTTCCAGGCCGAGTGGCTAGAGGACCTGACTCGAAGGGTGGGTAAGGTGGTGGATCGGGTGTCTTGTCTGGCCCCTCCCCACTAGGCTAGCGGGCGGGAGACACGGAAACCTGGGTTCTTCCGGCCCCCACCTCTAGCAATTACTTCTCAAAGCTCCGAGCTGAAGAAAAAGGGGAACCTGGCTGCGGCTCTACCTCCCCCACGCGCAGGGGGTGGGCTCCGGTCCCACCGCGACCCAGGTCCACGTGGACCGGTTGCTGAAGTCCGGGCACAGCCTGCATCTACACCGCCGGGGCCCGTCCGCGGTCCAGCGCCGCACTCACCGCCGAGTCCCAGAGTCACGCCGTCCGCGCGCTCCGAAGTCCTGCTGGTCGCCGGGGAGGGGGCGCAGGCGTAGTGCGCAGGCGCCTCCGCGGTACTTCCCCAAAGAGAGGGGCCGGGACTTCCTCGAGCCCCAGCGCCTGCTCGCCCGCAGTGCCCCGCCCCGCGCCCGCTCCCGCGCCCCACCCGCGCTGGCGTGTCGTCCCGCGGTAGCGTGGCATGGTGACCCTGACACGATTGAGCCGGCGCTCCGTCTGGTTAGCTGGGTTTTCCCAGCCTTTCCTTTATGTGATAGTGCAGTGTGGGGCACCAGAGCTGAGCCCCCTGTGCTCCTTGGCTCGTCTGGATTTAGAAGAGATCTTTGGGAAGGACTGGCCTGTGGTACTGCCCTGTCCGGCCAACCCCTTCGCATTTCTGAGTCTGGTCTGTGTCACCCTGCTATGGAACTTACCCAGAAAAAGGAAGGTTCAGGAACTATATAGCTTGGTGGGCACTGTGGATGCAGGTTCTTATATCAAATTACCCTGAAAGTTTCTGGGGCCTAGTTGAGTCCCTGTTGACCCCTCAAACTGCTCCAAGATAGCCTTTTCCACAAACGGCCTTGCTCTTTGGCCAACTCTTCAGATCCCTTATGATTGGGTGCAGATTTGAATTAGATCATTATCCCAGCATGCTCTGGGGTATGGTCCAGGGACCCTGACCCTACTACTTTAGACTTGGTCTGTAGGGTGTATGTGGTTGCTTGGGCCATGTGGTTCCTGCTCTTCTTAGCACTGGAACACAGCCTGATCAGTTCAGGCGTTGGGATCTTGCTAACAAAAATGCATTTCAATTGTACAGGTTGTATGTGCTCAACACACAAGTCAGAGGTACAAAGCAAATACTTCACAAGATCCCTTCAGGCAGTGGGACAGAGGCAGACAGACTTAACCTGGAGCTGACTGCAGTGGACCAGAATGGGAGACACACAAGAAAGGGATGGGCTGAGAGGTGAGGAGGGCAGGATATGGCCATGATGTGCAGGGAGCCTGGATGAAGAGAGAATAGTTGAGAGCCTGGGGCTACCAGGCTTCCTGCAATACTGTGTGGGACTTGATGAATTGACCACAGAGCCCTTTGACTGCCAAACTGATGGATTCCAAAGCAAGGTAGAGGCTAGGAGCCCATCTGGACAGTAGTAGCTGCTTCAGATAATAGTCCTGAGAGGTGGGCACAGCTCAGAACAGGGAGGCCCGGTAGACATGGGTCGATAGCAGGTGAGACACCAAAGCTGATTCTGAAGCATGTGGTGTGGGCCGCTGGCCATGGGTAGAAGTCAGTGCATTCTACATGTCTGCTCACTTGCTCTCTGCCTCCCTGCACCTGCTCACCACTCAATTAACATCTAAATCCAGGAAGGAGAACAGGAGCTTCTGAGAGAGCAATGCCAGTGGGGTTGGAACTTTAACCCAATAAACCCTTTTCCAGAGCAGGAACCCTAGCTACTCACGAGCCCCACAGGTGCCTGAAGGATTTCCTTCAGACAGAGGGGTCCTATGCCACCTTCCTTAGCCTTCTTGGTAAACCCAAGAAACCCTCACTGATGTGGAGATCAAGTGGCGGTCTTTGTTCTCCCTCTGCTCTGAAGTGCTTATATGAATCACTCACTGTGTGGGACACTGCAGCGGCCCTAGGCATCTCTGTGACCACCAATGAAGAAATGCAGAGTCAGAAAAATGATGAAATAATGGCATAGCTTTACTAAATAGATGAAGTTTTTCTAGGCACTTAGCAAATCTCCAAGAGACAAATCCTGGGGTACAGACTCCAAGGAGCTTGCCCAGAGGAGCCCAGCACTGGCTATCATCTGGTGTGACTGTCATTAGAGGGCTGTATCTGGGTGTGTATGACCATCATTCCTGGATGAAGAGACTATTTTCCCTGCCCACAATCATGTCCAAACCTACCATTTACTGCTCTGCCATCCTTACCACTGCCTGAAACCCCCTCCCCTCCTCCTGAGAACTACTGCTGATTTGTGGGCGCTGCCATCTGGGTTTGGATCAAGGCTCAGGGCAGCCACAGGCCAGAAAGTGAGAAGGGTCATGTGCAGGGGGAGAAGACCAGCTGAGGAAACAGAGCCCGGGAACTGGCCCTCAGTGAGTGGACCACAGTTTTGATCTCTTTTTCTTCCATCCCTTCTGTTCTCTGTTTCATACAGAGCCAGTGGGAGCTTCCATGCAAGGACAGGGAGCTTTCTACCTCCTTACAGCTCCCACCTCTCTTCAGCCTGCTGGGTAGAGGCTGGGATGGAGGACAAGGCCAAGGGGCCAAGGCACCACAGGTTCTGCAAAGAGCCCATGCTGTGGAGAAGAGGAAGAAGAGCTGCTCAGAAACCAGGGGCTTTTCAGAGTCTAGTGATTGGAATGGGAAGGGTGGCTTCCTTCCTGTGTTCCATGTTTGGTGGACAAGTGGGCACAGGAGGCTGTTTCTGACGAAAGGGAGGCTGTGGGTGAGCTTTCTGTCCACCATCCAGGGACCTTGGCGAGGAGGCCCCATTCACAATCTGTTGGTCCTCTGGGCATAACTAACTGGACTCTCCAAAGGCCAGCTTTGGCTTTGCCGTCATTCTCCCTCCCCGAATGCCACCCCAGCCCTCAGGTGGAATGATCCAACTTTGAAGACAACCCTGATTTCTGGGGGTGCTGGTATCAAGGCAGGCTCACCCATATCCTTTCCCACATTGGTACCTCCCCTCCCCACTACCTCTATGGTCCTGAAGGGCACCGGTTGCCTGATGGAGGCAGGCGATTGGGAGATAGGATTATCTTAACGTCTCCTTACTTTGGAGAGCCATCACTGTGACTGTGGCTGTGGGAGGTGGCATCTAAGCTTGCCCTTCCCTCCGGGAGTCCAGGGGGAAAAGAAGGGAAAGACCCGAGAACCCTCGATGAGAACTTTATGTTAGAGGGTGGGAAGCCCTTGTAATCCTGGGGCTCTGTAGGCCAGGGTCACCGTCATCGCGGGAAGATGCTGCCATCTACCGCCTCTTCCAGGATTGTCTCAACACGCCTCCGCTGCGGAGAAAGGAGCTGGTGTCAGTGTGTGGCGAGGCACGGGGGCCCTCTCACCCGTCTCCGGGTTTGCCCGCACCTCCTGTCGGTCCAGAGGATCGGGGATTTTCGTGGGCTTCAGTTGGGGTGGTAGGAACAGTTCCAGCCGAATGGCGGCGCGCGCTGAGCCCTGCCTCTGGATCAGGAGAGCGATTTCCTCTGCCTGGGAACCGAGCTTACTGAGCAACCCTGGCGAGCGGGCCAGAGATTACCCGCCACCCGCCTCCTCCCGCCAGCTCGGTGGGCCCTACTTTGAGGACGCCTCCGGGAGGCCCTTTGCATACCCGCATTCGCGTGTAGCGCAACCTCAGGGCGCGGACTCGGCCGCGGGCCTCTGCGGCCTTGAGGACGCCCAGAAGCCGATTCTGACGCTCAGCGGGTAGTTCGGATGCCTGCGTCCAGGTGCGCGGGTCGGGCATGGAGTAGGGTATGTCCAGAGACTCGCGTGGAAAGATGGAGGCGGCCGCGCCTGCGTCGTCGAGCAGGTCTCCAAAGAGCAGGTGGCGGCGGCGCTCTGTGGGGGGCATGGCCGCCAGCCTCTCCTGACTCAAGGCCCAGCCTGGCTTCGGGGGCTCTGTTGCCCTCGGGTCCTTCCTGCGTTTCTCACCAGCTCCAGCTACTGGTGCACTCTTTTTGGCCCGCTCCCGTGTACCCTTTACTCCTGGGGATGGCATGCTTCAGTCTGTAGAAGAAAAGGGGGAACACTATGGCTCCAACTGTGTTCCTGTGAAACTCCTTGTAGCTTTCTTACTCAGATCCCTAACTGGTAGCCGACCCTGTGCATATCTGCGGTAAGGTGTGACTTCTAATCCTCTCCAGTTTTAGAAGCATACCCAATTTAGGGCTGTAAAACCAGACGGATGGTCCTGCATGCCACTGATGTTCCACAGCCCGCATCACTATGGTTAATGGGTCATTCAGCGTCCCCTAACTCTGGAGCCTGGCCCTGTACCTCCGTCCCTGGTCTTTGGTTGGGGGTAAGGTTAAGGGTATGGTCTTTCATGACTTCTTGGACAGAGGACCCCATCCTGAGAGTGTGTCTACACATCTCTGCTTGAGTGTGTATGTGAATGTGTGGTATTGCAGGTAGGTAGGTATATGTGTGTTCCGATCTGTGTGTAAGGATACTACACATATATACACAGAGAAGTTCAACCTCTGTCCTTCTGGCCCATGGGTAGAGATGTGGGGGAGCAGTACCCAGGGAAGAGATGACAAAGGAGGAATGGCTCAAAGTGGGAAAAGGAATCCAAGCCTAGCAACCGTCCCTGACCCACCTGACTTCCTGTAGGTGAGAGGTAGAGACATAGTTCTGTGCTCTCCCCTAAATTTTCCAACCCCTTGCCCACCTACCAACTCAGCATCCAGGCCTCCCCATCCCAAGTCCACACATCCTCATACTTTCTGCCTTTTCCTTGGGAAAATACTTCAGTTTTGAGTCTCTGGGTTTGTTGACTGTGTTGCTTAGCAACCTGGAGCCCCACCCTCCCAGCCTGGCAGTGTGGGTGCAGGAATTGGGGCTGTGTGTGTGTTGTGTTCTGTCCCAGGTCCTTTTCCATGGTCTCTTCGAAGTCACTGCGAGTTTTTCACACATGGGTCTCAGATTCACTGTCCTGGTCTTGGGGGCTGGCTTCTGACTCCTTGGAGCTAGCTTTCTGGGCAGAGCTCCTGCAGATATTTTTGTGATTAAGGTCCACCTTAAATCCTTGTGGGAACTCAGAGCCCCCTTTCACCAATTCTGGGGCAAGTTTGGGATCTCAGGGGTCTAGAGGTCTACCAAGATGAGACTTGAGTTTTGCTAAACCCTAACCCTGTTTAACCTTGGATGGCAGGTCTTAGAGTTCTATAATCTAATGATAACCTTGGATGGCAGGTCTTAGAATTCTATAATCTAATGAGCACTCATTAATTTAGTGATTTTAAAAATAACTAGTTCAATTTTTCTAACTAGTTCAATTTTTAAATAACTTTTATTATAAAGAAACTTGCAAATAAAAAAATCACTTTCTTGGGGCTGGAGAGATGGCTCAGAGGTTAAGAGAACTGACTGCTCTTCCAGAGGTCCTGAATTCAATTCCCAGCAACCACATGATGGCTGACAACCATCTGTAATGGGGTCTGGTGCCCTCTTCTGGCCTGCAGACATACATGCAGGCAGAACACTGTATACATAATAAATAAATAAATAAATCATAAAAAAATCACATGCCAAAATTAGCAAGACCCCACATCTATACATCCCAATGAACTTCTATACAGTTAGAACAGCCTTTTGTATTGAAAACTGTGTAGCTTCACATTGGATTTTACTCTTTCAGTATCGAATACATTTTTGTGCACTTACCCACCACCCAACCCCAAAATACCTTTGACTAAGTTAGAACTAGAAAAACAATTAGCAGGCTGGAGAGATCGCTCAGTGGTTAAGAGCATTGCCTGCTCTTCCAAAGGTCCTGAGTTCAGTTCCCAGCAACCACATGGTGGCTCACAACCATCTGTAATGAGGTCTGGTGCCCTCTTCTGGCCTTCAGGCATATACACAGACAGAACATTGTATACATAATAAATGAATACTTTTTTTAAAAAAAAGGAAAAACAATTAGCTTTTTATCCTCTTTCATAACTTGTGTTTTTTACCTGCATTCAATTCTTCTTCATCTCCTAATATTTAGTCTTTCTTTTTCTCTTTTCTACATATTGTACTACAACCATATATACATTTGTTTATATACACACATTATTGTCTAAATTATGCATATGAGGTAGCATTCTCTTTAAAGTTGAAAAGGAGACAAGGTATTCATTCCCCCTTTCTTATTTGATATAGTGCTCAAAATCTTAGCTATAGGAATTAGACAAGGGAAAGATATAAAATAGGAAAGGGAGAAGTCAAACTATCTCTAATTGCAGATAGCACAATTCTTTAAACACCCTATTGAGTCTCCTGGAAAACTATTGGACATTATAAACACAATAAAGTTGAAGGATACAAAATCCATTAACAAAAGCAATCAATCAATCAAGCAAGCAAGCAAACAAAACCCAGTAGGGGCTAGAGAGATGGCTCAGTAGTTAAGAGCACTTACTGCTCTTTCAGAGGAACTGGGAACTTGGGTTCAATTCCCAGGACCCACATGGCAGCTTACAACCATTTATAATTCCAGCTCCAGGGGATCTGACACCCTCTTCTGGTCTCTGTGGGTACCATGCATGTACCTGGTGCACAGGCACACATGTAGGCAAACTGTAGACAGAAGTTTCTGTCCCACCTGGTCCTGCAGCTGTTCAGTCCCAAAGAACCACACATATACACAATGAATAAATAAATAAATATTTAAAGAAACAAACTAGTCTATTGGCGCAGGCTTATTATTAACTAGCTCTTACAACTTACATTAACCCATAATTCTTATCTATGTTTAGCCACATGACTTGGTAGCTGTTCTCAGTGCATCATTTTCATCTTGCTTCCTCTGTATCTGGATGGTGTTGAAATAGGAAGCGGCGGGGCTGCGTCCCCAACACCCCGGCCGCTTGGCTAGCTCATGCCCGAAATAACAACACACAAACTGTATTCATTTAAGAACTGCTTGGCCCCTGAACTCTAGCCCTTACAGGCTAATTCTCGCACCTGGACTAGCCCATTTCTAATGATGTGTGTAAGCACCCCAAGGTGCGCTTACCGGGAAGATTCTAGCCTACATCCATCTTCATGGCGTGTGCCTCAGAGAGCAGAGCTATCGCGTCTACCCTGGAGAGCTGAGCATGGCGTCTGTGCTCCCGAGCTGTCGGCTCTCTCCCCGGAAGCAGAGCAGAGTCTGACCTCACTTCCTCTTCCGCCCAGAATTCTATTCTGTTTACTCCTCCCATCTATGTTCCAAGCTGAGGCCAAGAAGTTGGTTTATTATAACTTAACCAATGAAATCAACAGATTGATATATGACACTCCCACATCAGGATGGCAATTGTAGACTGAGCCTTTCCTATTCCCAGAATTCTCCTACTCTGGTTGCCCTGCCTATACTTCCTTCCTAGCTACTGGCCAGTCAGCAATTTATTAAACCAATACAGTTGACAAATCTTTATAGAGTACAAAAGCATTATTTCTCAGCAGCAAACTACCCATATACATAAGAGAACAATTTTAAAAAACAAAGTACATTAAGAAAACAAAACAAAACAACAACAAAAACCAAAGCATTTATACCCCTGATGTGGGAGTGTCATATATCAATCTGTTGATTTCATTGGTTAAGTTATAATAAACCAGCTGCTTGGCCTCATGGCTGGAACATAGATGGGAGGAGTAAACAGAATAGAATTCTGGGTGGAAGAGGAAGTGAGGTCAGACTCTGCTCTGCTCCCAGAGAGACGCCATGCTCAGCTCTCCCGGGTAGACGCGATAGCTCTGCTCTCTGAGGCACACACATGAAGATGGACATAGGCTAGAATCTTCCTGGTAAGCGCACCTTGGGGTGCTTACAAACATTACTAGAAATGGGCTAGTCCAGGTGCGAGAATTAGCCTGTAAGGGCTAGAGTTCATGGGCCAAGCAGTTAAATGAATACAGTTTGTGTGTTGTTATTTCGGGCATGAGCTAGCCAAGCGGCTGGGGTGTTGGGGACGCAGCCCCGCCGCT